AAACCGGGACGGGCAGAGCTGCGGCAAGGGAGAGAGAGAGAGAGAGAGAGAGAGAGAGAGAGAGAGGAGGAGGAGGAGGGGGGATATACACGGGCGTATTAGTCTGAAGCGTATGATACGAGACCTGTTCGAGTGGCAAGGGCTTTTCCTCGCAAGCTGCCGCGCTGAGCTGAGCTGAGCTACGCTATGCTCAAGCTCGAATCTACTCTGGGTCGAGCACAGCACCGCAAACATCAATGCACATACACAACATCTTCCCCCCTCCCCGCTCCTCCCTCATCCTCCGTTGCGCCAAATGCCTACGTTGTTCAGTCGCTCCCATGCTGGACAGTCCACAGGTCCACAGATCACATCTCTTCCCTCCCTGCGCGGCCCCCACTCAACAATGAAAGCGCCGCAATACTCACAGATAACCGTCCGACATTGTGTCTCACGTTTCGATTGCGGAGATTGATCGATGAAGGCCTTCAGAGCGGGATGAAATGACTAGCTTGCAGGCGGCTGAATCAGGGGGGTTCAATCTGGCCCTGTTCGGATTGTAGAGTTGCAGAGAGCAAAAGAGGCACACGCTGTATCGTGGTTTTGCACCGTTGAACTTTGTTGAGATGATGATGATGATGATGATGATGATGATGATGATGATGTTTGCGGAACACTGGCGAGTGCGCGCTACATGCTCGCTGACGAAAGCTCAGCGCCGGCACGCATGCAATTTGGATCTGAATCAAAATTGAATGCGAGGAACTCGTGACTCACGCAACTGCCGTGCGAATCTCCACGAAGTGCGCCGCCAAATGTCTCGTACGAGAAGCTGGGACGCGCACGCGAGCGAGCGAGCGACGGTTGTGACTTTCTGCTTCGTTGCAGCCATGCATGGATCTTGACGGAGCTCCTCTTCAACAGCTTTCTTCGCGCCTATGCATTCTGCTCATTTCCCTTCATTCACAATTCACAGAGACCCTTCTTCGATAGCTCACCTTTGGATCTTTGTTACGCTTGACCTCTCGCGTCGACTGACATATCAGCCCGCGAAAAAATGTCTCAAAGACTCCTTCGACCCTTGCTGCGCGGCGGCAGCAGCAGCAGCAGCAGCATCGCGACCACCTCCTCATCAGCCTCTTCGCACGTTGCAAGATCCGCAAGTCGCTATACAATTCACTCGAGCGCTATCAGAAAACAGAATGAGGGTCACCCAGCCGCTGCCTCTGCTACCGCGCCTCAAATAGGCTCAACGGACCTGGCGATCGATCTGGATCCTTTTGTTCAGCAACAGCAGCAGCAGCAAGTCTTTGCGAATTCGCTCGCATTGCAGAACAGAACGACTGGTGAGTTCAGAGCAGGGATGGGATGGGAAGGAAGAGGTTTGGCGCGATATATCGAGGTAATGATGCTGATGCCTCGATCGCCATCGTCAGCAGCACTGGGACCATTGGAAGAATCTCGGCACGTGCACGTCATCATGTCTGCCCTGCACCCATCCACCAAGCCCTCCTCTCAGAGCCTAGTGCCTCTCTCTACGCACGTCTTTGGCAGCACACCACGACGAGACTTGCTTCACTCCGCCGTAGTGTGGTACTTGGATGGACTGCGTCGAGGAGGAGGAAGCACAAAGACGCGATCGGAGGTGTCGGGTAGCGGAAGAAAATTGAGACCTCAAAAGGGGACTGGAAGAGCACGACTGGGTGATCGAGGAAATCCGATGCTTCGAGGAGGAGGCGTAGCTCACGGACCCAAACCTAGAGATTTCTCCAGCAAGCTGAACAGAAGAGTCAGGGAGATGGCGTTGAGGAGCGCATTGAGCTTGAGATGGAGAGCGGGAGATCTGTTCGTCGTTCCCAGCTTGGAATGGGATGCTCCGCCGCGCATCACTGGGGAACTTAGGAGATTGCTAGGCAGCAAACAGTGGAGCGATGCGCTCTTCTTGACTGCGCCGCGCGAACCTCTCAGCTTGGGTTCGGCTAGAGCACCCAATCAAAAACCAAGCGCGGTGGAGCCGCAGTACGATGCGGCAAACATCGAAGCGCATCGAGAGATCACTCGTCACTTTCAATTGGCCTCTTCCAACATTCCCAAGGTTTCGCTGATACATCTACACGAATTGGGCGAGAAGAAGAGAGCAGGTGCAAAGAGAGGAACGAGGGAAGCGAAGGAACCGGGAGAATTGCACGCTTACGAGATTCTAAAGAGGAAGAGGTTGATATTGGACCTTGGAGCGCTGGAATGGATCGAAGAGTGTTTGGGAGGAAGCATTTTCCACGCGAATGATTTGGAGGAGACGCAAGTGATGCTGCGCGAGGAGGAGGAGCAGGATGGTCGGGCTGCGGCGATGGGGGCTGCTGCTGCTGCTGAGGAGCTGCTGCTGCACTCGGAGTCGGTCGTGGTGGAGGAAGGAGAGCAAGAGCAAGGGGAAGAGTTGGAGGAGGAAGCGGACCGATTTTTGAACGAAGCGGGCGTAGACTCGTTGGGACACGATGCGAATGCTGAGCTGGACAAGAAGGAGACAAAGTAAAAGAGGGGGGGATTGGGTCTGAAGGATAAATATGTACACATTGCCCCCCCTCCCCAGAAACACGATGCGTCTTTTGCGCGGCTCGATGCGAATCCAATCGGTTTAGAGGGCGCTCCGTCGTCATGCAATGCAATGAATGCGTCGAGAAGATTGCAACGAGTTTCCGAACTTGACAGCATGGGCGGCCTGACTTTGTGAATTAGCTAAGAATGTTGCGGGGGCCACAATTGCTGGCATGAAGAGCTAGCGTCGGTCGCACGCACGCAAATGTGAATGGAGAAAGAGGCGCTTCGTTGACTTGAGCGGGACCGGCCCTCCCGCGACCCGCGACGCGGCGGCAATCGCAAAATGGTGCATGCTTTGAGAGGGGGCCAAAGTGTCGACTTGCTTGCGATTAATTTGCGAGCGCGGTCATGCGCATGGCAGCGGTGTCTTGTAGCCGTTGAATTTGTATGCCTCGTCCCAACGAAGTCGTCGCTCGCTTTGCCCATTGGTGATTCGAGATTCTAGGACGCTCTCTCTCTCTCTCTCTCTCTCTCTCTCTCTCTCTCTCTCTCTCTCTCTCTCTCTCTCTCTCTCTGTGGAAAAGACCGAATCTTGGATCAGCAGCGCTCGCACTCCGATGACGTGTTTCGCGCAAGCCATTCACTGCACAGCGCGACGGGCGCGCAGCTGCTGGGTGAATCGACGACCTCTATAGAAATACCACCGGTGGCAGGCGACGCGCGCGTGAGTCGCGTGAGCCACATGCACAAGCTCTGAACAATCACGAACGAGGGTGAATCTGATTCAAGATTCACGATTCACGAATCTTGAATCACGATGATTGCAAGATGCTGCATACCGAAGCTTGACATAGCCTTTCACAGATGCAGTGACTCCTGACTCATGACTGTCATTGAACTCACCATTCGAGTTGGGTGTGATTGACCTCTCAGCTTTCTTGTAGCGCAAGCCTGCTGGTCCAAGCTGAGCGAACGACAACATGCGCACCTCTGGATTCGAGAAGAACTGGGCACGCAATCACTCATCATCGCTCGCAGATTCATAATCACGCACGAGCCAGCCAGCCTGTATTCGCAAAGATGAGCGCTTCTCGCCCACGTCCTCCTCCACGTCGTGGCGATGGATCTCGACATTCGAAAACGTCACAAGCGACCTCATCATCCACATCGACATCGCTTCAAGTCCCCTCCAGCTCGAGCGCAGCCAGCTACGGCCCCGATTTGAGAACTGAAAGAGCGTCGAAAGGCAAAGAGAGAGAATCCGGCTTCTTTGTCGAGCTGCCCGGGGGGAGCATCTCTTCTAGACCTCGCTTTTCGAGTCCGCGCAAGCAGGGGCCGAAATCGAGCGAGGATGAGAAGCATGAGCAGGCTAGGGTGGATGGATCGTGTGCGGATGAGGGGACGATCGATGCAGAGGTAGAGAGGATGGCCCAGTTGGCAGTGATGACTGGGGCAAGTGCCGATGCGCATGTTGGGCAAGCGAGCAGATCCAACCCTCCTCCTGCTCGCTCTTTCAAGGGCAAGAGGGCGAGCAGAATGACTGATCCGGATGCTCAGACGATCAACAGCACTGTCAGACAATCACCACCTCGAAGCGCATCGAACTTGCAATCCACCCGATCTCGTCCACAACCACCTCCTGGCCGATTCGCCAGAACACACAAAGCCAGTGGCACAGATCAAGCTGGTGCAGCGGGACCATCGAGCTCAAGCACCGCATCCGAAGCAGAGACCATTCGTATGGACGTGGAGCAGTCTGGCGCTGAAAGCTCCACCACATCAGGGCCACAATCTGCGAGGCGCGCAGCGCGCACTCCAATCAGATCGCAAACGGCAGCTCAAAAGGATGCAAATTTTATCGATGCAGGCGATCACCTTGTCGGCTCAACCAGCGAGGCCAACTCGGAAGCGATGGAGATTGACGGCGAATTGGGAGCTGCAAGAGAGCAATCCCCCTCGCGTGCTCCACGTCCAGCCCCTAGACCCGTTCGCGCAACCCACAAGATGCGCAGGGAACCAAGAATTGCCGTCAAGAGAGCGGATTGGCCGGACGAAAAGAGGTTGGCTTGTGTTAGGTTGAATGGATCTCCCGATCCCGGCAGTCTCGCCGTGTCCTCTTTTGGCTGCGTAGCGATCACCACTCCCAAAGTCATCCACATTATAGTGAGTCTTTTGGTCGCTTTTGAGGTCTAAGTAAAACATGCGAGCACCAAAGAGCTGACATCAAGTCGGCAATGCACCAAATAGACGCCGTCTTTGACGTTTTCCACTGCCCAAAAGCCCAATCTGACCCTGTTTAGCCCCGGAACGATGGAGGATCTATCGGGCGAGCTTTCCAGCGCCTTCTATAGCAGTATAGAAGTGAGCTGCGTCGTGCAGATGATGCGACTCAGGGCCAAATTTGAGGACGGCATGGACGCCAGGAATGCATTCACCCATGGTGAGAAGCGATGCGGTGCGAAGGCGCCGGATGCGCTGTGCACAGAATTGCTGATGATAGCTGATGTCGTGTCGGAAAATGAAATCAGACTACATGCTAGGTCATCCCGGATCTGGACTGCCGGTCTGGAGAAAAGCCGCTTGGTGTCCGGCACTTCTGGGCGATCAAGGAGGGTAGGTGATTGTGGGCGGGCGGTCATGCCCCTGATGTACGCTTACGGAATCAAAATCACTGCTCAATAGCCCCGTACTGGCCATCCAAACGGCCATGATGGATCTGTACCTCTTCCAACCCAAGCCAGGTGCTTTCCCTGGCTCCATGGTATATGTGCGTAGCTATGTACGTCGTCGGTCAGCGCGCACGCGAGCTCAACAATCCAGGAAGCGTTTGACATCACACAGAAAGAACGACTCGAAGCTCCCGCAACCAAGGTCCAATTTGAGAGAAGGAAAAGGCAAGTAATGCTGAACGAGCAGATAAGCGGTGCGTCTAGAGCCGACTACCTTCCTTTCGAGCGATGAGAGCAGATGTTGATGCATATGCTCTGTGTCTCAAAAGATATGGCATGGCTTGATTTTGCGCCCGAAGCGGTGGCGAGCACGTGTGCCTATCTGGTTGGTAGCTCCAGAAGCGGAAAGCTATATGTGTGGAGGTGAGCTTGGAGCTCGGGTGAATGCCATAACGTGGGACGCTGACGTGATTAGCACCACACGCTTCTTGCTACCAAGGTGTCACCAGAGCGCCCCTTCCGACTTTATGCTACAAGCCAATGTTGCCGACTTTCCGATCGATTATGTAGTCGCCTCGAAGTGCAAGACGAACAGCGATGGGGCTCGATCAGGTCAGTCTAGAATCTGAGGGACTTGTTCACTTTGCCACTGCTAATGCATACGTCATCGAACGCGCGAAAGTAGCTATCGTGGCTACATTCTACAGTGGCACTCTGGACTTTCTCAATGTCGCACTCGATCCTGCAGGACAAATATCGATCGAGCGTGTAACAAATGCTGCGCGCCCTCTCAACGTCGGCATCTCAGTACCCACTTGGCTCGATGATGATTATCTGTACTTCGGCACACCTGGAGCGATCATGCGCTACACGCCTGGAGCTGCCGCAGAGATGGAGACTGCTTTGTTGGGAGAGCGCGAGGACGATCAGCCCGGAGAAGCGATGTCGACCTGTATCCGTGAGTGGCTCTTCTTCATTGCGGTGTTCGTTCAGACGAGCGACCGGCGGCAAGATTCAGATGAGAGATCAATGGCGGCGTTCGAGATTTGACCGCCTGAGCACCTCTCGCTCGTAGAGATCGAGTCGCAGCAGAGCGGAATGTTACACGTCACTCTCAAGGATGGCAACCACTACATTCTCTCCTCTTCGGACTTCTGTGTGTCGGATGTGGACGCTTCCATCGTTCTTCCTGCATGCTCTTTGGTCAGCCCGTTCAGCTCTGCCGCGCAAAAGATGGCCATCGACCTCCAAAGGGAGTACGACTTCAATCAGGGTCTGATAGGTTACGCCTCGCAGGTCGGCGCTAGTGGAGGTGCACGCCTCAAATTCGCTGTGCATAGGCGAGTATTGGGCCGCAGCGGAGGCTTCCGCGCTCAGCCTGGTGACTGCGCTGACATCGCTCATCTTTTTGCTGATCGCTCGAACGCACTCGTAGAGCAAATGAACTGGGCTTCTTCAGACACTCGATGGAGGGTGCTTTTAGTTTTACCCTGATTCTTTCTGGTGAAGCTCTTGCTGCAGAGACGTCCCCCGAGGAGTCGGCTCAGGCCGCTCTCGCTTCAGCATTCACACTTCACGCAGGTAAGCGCCTCGTCACAAGCATTGGCATGGTCTGCCGGCCTGAACTGACGTCTATGGTCTTGTGCAGGGGCGGACAAATCGCATAGCACAATCCGTCTGTCACCCTTCTTTGCCTTGCTTGAGACTAGCGCCCGCAGATCTGCAGTCTTGACTGCTGGTGTCGACACTGCGCTCTCGGCTGCTCAGAATCTCCTTCCAGAGAGTCACCCTCAAGCAGTGGAGGATGAGAGGCGAATCACAGCACTTCGGACTGTCAATCTGTTGTTGCTCAAAGTGCAGGTGAGCGCTGACAAGGGCTCCAACTCCAGCGCCCTGGTCTAACAATCTGCTCACCCTCATTTCCGCTTCTGCAGAATGAGAAGTCGCTTCCTGCTGATATTCAGCTGGCAGTGAATGACGCAGCAAAGCGCGTCAGCCGAGCTTTGCAATCTTCTCATCTGCTCTTTCAGCTCGAAGCTGCCCATTCACACATTCAGGGGAGCGACACTCGAGATGTGCGGGGTGATACCTCGGCAGATCTCATGTTCTGTCAACGGCTGGTCGCGGCTGTGTACCTCGCAGAGAGAGACGAGCAAGGATCTGCAATATTCAAGAGGATGGAGAGCCTTGCTTGGAAGCTTCTCCAATCCATGTATCGTGTCGAAAAGATAGCAAAGACGGCTCGAGATGCGCTGCGCGCTGATGCTCGGGAGGTAAGTTAGAAGAGAAGCATCTACGCGTACCCGCGTGACACAGAAAGAAGAATGATGGGCGAGACTGACGCACACTTCCTCCTTGTTCCGCCGGCCTGTGTTCTCGCGAGTAGCATTTGAGCGTGCAGTGCGGCGAGGTTTGTCCGGCCTGCGATGCTGACGTTCCGCTGGTGGCGATAGGAGCAGATGGAGTCACGCGCTGCAGGACGGGTCACATTTGGTGTGAGTCGTCCTTTGCACGAACTCAAGTCCACGGAGGTGTTCAGTTCCCATCAGTTACATGCCGCTCACCCGCTTCGCCTCCTCTTCGCAACACTCAAACTACCAGCTCGATGTTCCGTCACGTGGAAGCCCTTGGGCGAAGTGCGCAGCAGGACTTGTATCGGATGCAATAGAAAGGCATATCCCGTCTCGCTGGGCGAGGAGGGGTCGCAATTGCTAAATGAAGCACTCAACACAAGTCGACATTGTATCACGTGCGGTGCTCCATGGACAATCCTCTGATTTTGCACCCGGCGCCCGATGCGGTCCTTATGCGGACGCACCCAAGAAAGAGCAGTGTTCTGCACTCTCGCGCCCTTCATCCCTTTTCCACTCACGCACGTGCGTGCGCCGACACTCGATTCCTGGAGATGGACCACACAGTCTGGAAGTTTCCTCAGCGCCACTCATTTTTCCTCATTGTCACTCCTTGAGCTTGTACTTTTGACTGTAGTATAAAAGCGCTAATCCAACATCGTCGTCGGAGGTTCAAGGGAAGCGGACTGCAGCAGCCTTCTCGACACCTTTGGAGCGTCGAAGAGGTAGAGAAATGGTCAGCAATCGACGAACTTGCGACAGACTTGAAGGATTCAAACTACATTTGGAGTTGCTGAGGAGATCAAGGCCACTCGAAGAGGGCCCGTTAACTCACCCTCAATGTCTACCTTGTGCCCAACCAATTCTCGGATGTTATTGATGCCATACCTGATCATAGTGGGTCTTTCCAAGCTTAGACCTAAACGCAAGGTTGAGGTAGCATGAGAGGTCACTCAGTTGCGAAGTCTCAAGTACCTGGTGCGAGCAGGCGTCTCACTCACCCCATCCAAGTACATTGACACCGTCGGGCAAGCCCATTGGTCTCAGCATTTCTGGTCTGAACATGCCCGAATTACCAATCTCGACCCATTTGCCCAAACCCTTGTGGTAGGAGAAAATTTCTAGACTAGGTTCGGTATAAGGGTTGAAAGCCGGCTTGAAGCGAAGATCTTTCACTCCCATCTTCTCAAAGAAGATCTGCATGAAGCCGATGAGATCTCCCAAGGTGATGTTGTAATCCGCCACGACACCCTCCACTTGATGGAACTCGGCCAAGTGTGTCGCGTCGACCGCTTCGTTGCGGAACACTCTGTCGATGGAGAAGAGCTTGGCAGGCTTGAAGCCTCCCGGCGCGTTGGCTAATTGATACAACATCGCGCTAGACACTGCGGTGGTGTGCGTGCGAAGAACCAGCTTCTCGGTGACTTCTCGAGAGAATGGGTAGCGGTATCCCGTCGAGCCAAAACCACCCTCCTCATGGACTTGCGTCACCTTCTTCAAGTAGTCTTCTGGAAGATCCTTCGCTGCTGGTGGATCTGCGGAGGTGGGCGCGCACGACGGGCGATCTGAGAGGTTGGCTTACGGATTTCTTTGGCAGCTCCATGCCTCAACGGAAGTGCAGTGACGTACCTTTGACAAAGAATGTGTCTTGCACGTCTCTCGCAGCATGCTGCTGGGGGACGAAGAGACTATCGAAGCACCAGAAGCTGCTTTCCACGAAGCGGTTCGTGGGCATTTCTGTGAAGCTGCAAGAGAGAGACGAGTATAAGCGGACAGGGCAATGAGAAGCGCGCATTACTCGTGAGCGTGCGACTCCCAGCCTTCCCCACTGCTCTCCTGACGCCTCGACAAACTCACCCCATCTCAAAGAATATGTTCCTGAACTCTTCTCTGACCTTCAGTAGAGGATGGAGAGCTCCAGCACTCGGCTCTACGCCATCCGCTTCAAAGTTGTACTTCTTGAAAGGCTTGTCTTTCCAGCTTCCATTCTGGAGCATCTCGAAGGACAGATCAGTTTCGAGTTTCTCAATCTTGAGAGCAAACGCAGGGCCTTTTTTGAGGGAGAAGTAGACCAATTTCCTGAGCAAGTGGAGCAGCTCAGCCACACTGTGTACACAAAACGAACGAAGAAAGCCAGCTCACTTGACTACAATCAGTTTCCTTTTTCGCAATTCCGCTAAGTCTTTGTCCGATAGCTTAACGCTGCCGTCTCTAATGCCGGCGAGCTGCGTTCTGGTTTCATCCACGATGGTGTCTACTCCTGGGACTCGAGCCAGTGCGCCGTTGACAGAAGGATGTTTCCGCACCCACTTCTTGGCGAATGCCTTGCCTTGAGCAATCTTCAGAACGCCGGCGGTGAGCAATGTCTTCCAAGTAGGATTTGAACATGGTGTCAGTGGAACAATCGAAGTTCACCGAGGAGCAGGACAGCATACAGCGATCTCACCTGCAAGTCTTGCATGCTCTTTCCTTCCTCTGCGTCTGCAGGTAGAGCAGCCCACAACCTGGCCTCGTGACTTCCCTCATTTGCAATCGTGTTTCCTTCCTCTGTGAGGCCGCTAGTCAGCTCTTCCTTGACATCAAAGGTGATCATGTCTCTATCTCTGAGACTGCTGAGCGTAGATTGAAGACCCAACTGCCAGTCCGCTCGCGCGCGATGCGCTGCTTCGAGAGAGGCAAGCGAGGTCAGATCAATGTTGTCTGGGGACACGGTGAGGGTCCGGGTGTCTGGAATGCCTGATGAACCAGCATTGTCCAGCAGCTGAAGGATGTCTTCCGCGCTGGGCTGCTCCGAAAGATCATACGGAGGCGCTCCCATCTCGGCACGAGCTGAGCCAGAGCCTTGACTATGACGTAGTTAAGCCGGAATATATTGAGGAGCGAATTAGATCGTGAATGTGCCAAGGGCTCCGGAGTTCATGAGATGATGCAGGCGCCTGTGCAGGTTTCGTTTGACACAGAGCAGCTGAGATAAGTGGGTGTTGGAGATGGAGGGAGCCCGAGAAGAAGTCCTTGTCAACGGCAGAGTGCTAAATTTGCTTGACTGTGAGACGAGCAGGCGGATTTGGGTTAACGCCTGAATATATGCTCACGCTTCATAGGTATTCACATTCAATCACGAATTCTTGTTTGGAAGTGACATCTGCTGATCCCAACTCGAAGCGAATCGCCCGCGCTGCGACCTTCGCGCCGTTTAAAGCAAGCAGGCGTGACTCGGCTCCGCGCCGCGCTCGTCTCGTGCGAGAAGAAGAGCGCGCTTCAATGACTCCACTTTCCACTGCGATTCGACACCAAGCTCGCGGAAGCCACTCACTGCCTAGAGATCGAGGACAACTGCCCTTTCACGTTACAATCATTCCTCGAGGATAGGAGTTCAATTCACCTTCACACTCATCCCAAGATTGCTCTCAGGTGACTCAAGCCCGCAGACATGATCGACCTGCTCCCTACCGGAGACTGAGTAGCCTGACTTGCATCCCAAACGAGAGCCATGACATTCTGCTTAGTCCGCTGCGCATGCTCGACAAGCCAAAGGAAATCTGCGCTGAGCATTAGCGACTTGTGGCGACGAGATCTTCAAGCTAGGCGTCCGCAGGGATGGGAAGCCTGGCTAGCAGGCACAGAGCGACTACAGATCCGAGGGTCGATTGCAGGCGGTCGAACCGCTGTAGCGGGGGAACCTGAGCTCTGGAACATTGGAAACGATGCTCGGCAAGGCAGGTATTCCAGGCCTCATAAGCAGACTGTATCGAGGCTCCACGCGCCGGGTCTTTTAGCTTCAGGGCATCGACTGCAGTCAACTTTCGACGACGTCCATCATTCGAGGAGCCGAAGCTTCTCAAAACGCGCAACGACGGAGCCTTCGTCTCCACACGACGGGACTACCTCTCGCCTAACGTCTCGAGCCAGCCAAGAGGGTACAGTACGCGAGGAGGGGGGTGATGCAGTGAGCCCGGATGTGCGAAAGAAGCTGGGGAACCTCGAATATGAGCTCGAGATAGATCCATTCGGTGAGCTCGCCAAGCACGAGAGTGGCGCATCTCTTCGTCAGCGCGCTCATATACACGACTCTCTTGCGGTCCAGTACATATGCTCGCCGCCCCTCTGAGGCGGTGCGTCCTCACTTCGGCCATTTTGCCAGTCTGTGAGTCGCCTTTGCGTTCGCCCCAGCTCAGAAAGTTTTGGTTGCGCGTCCTCACACTATTCTCGCATGGGCGTGGCGAAGCTCTGATGGTCAGGCTAGCCATGCCCCAACCATCCTCTGAGCAGCCTGCAAGAAATTCTGTCATCCAGGAGAAGAATGATCATCTGAACCTGCAGGATGTTGGAGACAAAGGCCATACTGGGCGCAGGCGCGAGAACAACCCAAAGTCTGCTCGATTATCACGTATACAATTTCCAGGTCTTACACGGGGAAGGGAAAGCAGAGGGGCATGGTTGACTTTGGATCGCACCGTCTTTCAGAGCGTGACAAAAAAAGGTGGGTTGATGCGGAAAGCTCGCATCACCAGCACACGTCGCGATGGACCGAGGTCTGATTACATGACGCCTTGTATTCATGCCACGTCTCTCAGCTTCGGCCTCTCGGATACTCGCTGCCACCCCGGCTGATCTGCAACATCAAGTCGAGACGGATTTGGCGACACGTGTGCTTGACGAGGTCCACAAGACATCAGCGTCGTTGGATGAGGAGTCTTCGAGCTCGCTCCGAGAATGCGGATCAAGGAGCGAACGACCCATCAGATGCATCGAGTGGAATGGTCTGGGGAGGCTCTCAGCCTCACCAAGCCCCGGAGAAGAGCACTCGACGCTCGCAGCTGTGTTAATATTCTCCGGCCAGACTAGGGCAGCACCGAAGCCCCATTCTATGATTGTGGCACCAGACGCTGCGACTGCGCAACCATCAGACGGCATATCAAGAGACGAGCAGCTTCCTTCCGCTCCAATGGCCGAGGTCAAGAGCTTGGTCGAAGAGCTGGGCAAGGACGTTGGGGTGCCCGTTTACGACATAGACAGCCTGTTCGTCGACGAGTCTGACAGACACCAGCACATCAACGAGTTTCTGAGCTTGCTGCGTCCTTCGGCGGAAAGGTCCTCGCCGAAAAGCGCGCTCGCGTCGATAAATGCTGAGGTTCAAGAAGCAGAAACGCTGAGCGGCAGGCCTATGGTCTTCGAGGTCCACAAGCATGCATACACGAGAGACCTGCTCATCGCCTTGGCTAGGCTTGCCTTTTATCACGGGAGAGAATAAGCTGCGGTGATCCCCGCATTCGTCATTGGACCGTTGACGTAAGCCCGCAGACAGGTCCAAATGTCTGCCAGGCATGTGTAGCGACAGTGTCATTTGCGCGCATGTCAGTGCAAGCGATTTCATGAACACTGGAAGTGTCGGGGAAGGAGACAAGATGGCAAGCAGGAATTAGGAACGTCAGGTGCCGAATCTGGCAACCTGCGACTGGCGCAAAGGTCCGGAGAGGCAGAAGGCAGAAGCAAAGTATCAATGAAGAATGTGACTGTGCGGCGAAGGAATCGTTCTCGAGCGAAGTCCGTTTCGGACAGGACAAATTTGAGACCTATCAAACTGTCAAGCTGCGCTCTTGAAGTCGACGTTCAATCTGATATCGCGCGAAGAGGCTCCAATTTGAAGCTTGTAGTCGCCGGCCGGGTGTATCCAGCGTTGCTTCTCGGTTGACCAGATGGAGAGGTCGTACCTCGTCAGCTGCCAGGTGATGTGCTTGGATTGACCAGCTGGAATAGGTACCCGGTCAAAGAGACGAAGGACCTTCGGCGGCTCGCCTGCGGCTGCTGGGAAGGACAAGTAGACTTGAGGCACTTCGTGACCGTCACGTCCTCCACTGTTCTGCACGGTGAAGGATACCTCATACACCTATGCAAGCACAGTGAAGGAGCCGTCATTTCAGCAAATGAAACACATGTCAACGCATGAGCAAACGGGGTCTGCGATGCTCACGGGCTCATTGATCCACTTTGGAGTAGGCCACGACCAAGCGCGGGAGTTCCATTCCTTTTGGTCGAGCCATTTGCCACGAGCGCCAGAGTACTTGAAGGAGGTGTAGCTCAGACCGTGTCCAAACGCGAATCTGGGCTCGATATTCTTGGCGTCGAAGTGGCGGTAACCGACCTGCAAAGAGCGTGATCGAAATTGAGCGGCAACGATGAGCAAAGGGTGCCAGGAGCGGTTACTGATATCCATCACTCACCTCAAGCTTCTCAGTGTAGGGGAGTTGAGCCTGGTCGAAAGATGCAGGCGTGTCGGACAGACCTGGGAAGTAGTTCACGTCGGCTGAGTAATCGGATCTCTTCTTTGCAATCGTGAATGGGAGACGTCCGGATGGGTTGGTCTTGCCAGTGAGCACGTCAACAAGGGCGCTGCCACCTTCTTCTCCGCCCATGCCAGACCAGATGATCGCGGTCACGTTGGGGTTCGAAATGACATCTTCGTAGTCGTTGGCGTCTGGCGACTGGACAATCACAATCGTGTTGCTATTGACAGGGCGAGGAGCTCATCACTTATCGATCTCACTCTCAAAGCAATTCCTGATTCTACATACCTGTTGACAGCGGCAGTGCGCTTGATGAGCTCTGGGCCGGTGTTCCAGAACGTCAAATTGGAACGGTCACCAGTGACACCGTTCTCGAGAGAGATGTAGCCTTCACCGCTGTCGGCGTAGACAAAAACCAAGGCAGCGTCAACGCCCAGTCTTTCATCTGCCACCTTGGGGATGCGGTCGTAGTCCGTGGCGTTGAGACTCCAGTACAGTCCGAAGGGCGTCTTGCGTGCGAGCTGATTGAGCTCGTTGAGGGGATCGACGAGGAAAGGGTACTCCGCAGTACCTGCGGGCACGCGAGGAATGAACGGAGTCAGACCTTGGATGCCAAATTTGATAGCGACGGCGCGAGGGACTCACCTGAGCCCCAACCCATGCCGAGGTAGCCATCGACTCCACCACGATCGCCGAAAGCGTTGGCGCCATTGATGGCCGGGCCTGCCTGAGGGCCGATCACTGCGAGCTTCCTTAGCTTCTTGACATTCAAAGGAAGTGCCTTCTTCTTGTTCTGCAGCAGAACGGTACCAGCAGCTGCAACTTCGCGTGCAACTTGGACGTGCTCCGGCTTGATCACATTGACGTGTTGATTGCTCGGGTCGAGTGGGTCGAACGAATCGAAGTTGGGTTTGGGATGAGGCTGGTCCTGGTCCAGCAGGTAGTAGCCCGCCAGCACACGCTCCGCTGCGTCCGCCACTCGGTCGGCAGGAACAGAGCCATTGTTTACAGCGGCGACCAGATTCTCGTTCCAGAAGTAGGTGCCGATGCTCTTGTCGCAGCATGCTGTCTGTCCCGGTTGAGCCATGTCAAGATAGCCGTTTGCCGACTCTACGTTGTTGTGCTGTGCTCCCCAATCGCTGATGGTAGCTCCATTGTGGCCCAGCCTGTACTTCAGGATATTGCCAAGGAGCTCCGGATTCTCCGTCGCCCACGTCTCGTTGATTCTGTCGTTCGCAGCGAAAGGGGACCGCTCTTCAGCTTCTCGGTCTTCTCCTCGATCGGCTTCAAAAGACCAGCACTTGTTACACACCTGTTATAAGACGCCATGACTGTGGCGGTGTCTGCCTCAACAGCATCCTTGAAGGGGTGCAGGTACAGCTCGTAGAGACTGAGGGAACGGGAAATGAGCCACACGCCTCTCCCACATGAAAGCACACCAGCGTTTGAACTTACGAGCGCTCGTCTACATTGCTCGAGTAGGTGTTGCGGAGCGTTTCCTGGTCATTCAGTACGAAGTGTTTGGCACACGCTTGAACATGCTGGGACTGTATGCCCTTGATGTTCTGTGCCCCTGCCACACCGATCAAGTAGGGGTCCTCTCCGCCGTACTCCCAATTTCTTCCCGCAGCAGGCGCGCGTCCAAAGTTCAAGCCAGGGCCCAAGAGGATGGAAACACCTTTGGCCCGAGCTTGCTGCCCCTGGGCCACACCACGTTTGTAGGCCAAGTCCTTGCTGAAAGTGGCAGCTGTGGTGATGCCCGTCGGGAAAGGAGTGACCAGGTCTGAGAGACCCGCACCACCAAAAGATGTCAGCATGGAACGCACATCGACCTTGCCACCTAAGTCGCCCTTCCCGTCGGCTTTGCCTCGTGACTGAGATTGCGGAACTTTTCCAGCTTTACAATTGCAAAGGGCGACTTACCTGCGAAACGCACACCGACGGGCGAGTCTTGCAGACAAAGGCCCTCGAAGCCAATCTTCTTCTGAGGGGCAATGTTCCCCACACACCTGGGTAGCGGACCACGCTCCCAACCGACACCTTTTCACAGCACGCAAACGGACGAGAGAGGGATGAGCTGAGGTCTAGCGAGGTACCGCAAGGCACATCGGAACCAAGCGCCCTCCCGTGGAAATGCAGCGCTCACCAGTCATGAGAGCAACTCGCTCCTCGAGAGTGAGCTTGCCCACAGCATCCTTTGCCTTTGCAATGGCAGTCTTCCACCTGCGGTTGCGGCCAACGTTCTGAATGAGACCCGCCTTTCCGTTGTGGTCTTGTTGGTCACCTGCAATGCCAGCGCTGGCCGAGCCTTCAGTCTGAGCGTGGGCAGTAGCAGAAGCGTGGGCTGCGTCATTCTTCTTGCTGCTTGCTTTTGCCTCAGCATTAATTTCAGCGTTGGCAGATTCCTCCTTCATCTTGGCTCCATTCCAGCCTTTCAGAACGGACTCGTCACCGCGGAAAGTGTCTAATTTAGCCTCTTGGAGAGAGCCTTGGCTGATCTCTGCCGAGCCGAGCCATGCATGCTGAGAGCGAGCTTCGACATGATGTTTGGAGTGGTGCGCTGCTCGACGCTCGAAGTCGTGCTTAGCAAAAGTGCTGGGTGCACTGGCGCCGAAGAGGGCGAGAGCTAGGATGAGGAAGGATGCCCTCATTGCACCTGTCGAAAACGGAAGCGTCGTGGAATGGGACAAAGCAAGAGCGCGGAGAGGCTCCTACGGGTAAAAGAGCAAGGGGAGTAGGTGGAACGGGGGCGTGGAGGGCGTGGGCGAGGCAGGAGAGGCAGGAGTCCTACAACAGCTGATTAGGATGGGTATGAGGGGACGGAAGGAGGGCGGAAGAGAGAGAGACAAGGAAGCAAGGTCTGACGGGGCTGAGGGAGCTTCAGATCGTCAAGCGGGCCACTTTATAACGAGGCACGGCCCCGCGCAGAACGTCAAAGTCACTGGTTATATACGCTGTACTCAAAATTACTCACTCTTGACTACGCGAGCCGACAAAGTATTGGGAATTGCATTGCGCAGACCTTAGGTGACTTATGTTCCATTCAGATTGCCGTTAGAAGCGAGGTGTGCATGCTGCTTATTTGCGCAGCCTGCCCGCGTTTCCCCTCAGGAATTCCTAGGATCAATTCGGCCCAGTTGCTGTTGGTGCTCACAGTTGTAGGTACTTTGTCGCGGAGTGCATCTTGATGACGGCTCAATCGTGGACAGAAGAACGTTGGCTTCCTTTAGCGTCATTTGACACGAAGTCAGATGAGGCACTGTACACGTACGTGCATGGTGCCTGAAGAGGGGGATAGCTCATACTTGCTCCATTGAGAGCGCACGCATCCACTCTGATTCGTGATGCTTGTGTTGTTGATCCATTCATGGCGCGCTGCGAGGGCCCCTATCAGGCGGCGTGCTCACCAAGTATAACTGAGCATGCCGATGAGCAGCGGCTATTATTCACATTTTGATTGCTGGGTGCATCAGCAGCAACTAATGCTGATCGACCACGCGGTAGGTGTGGGGAAAAGACGGACCAAAGCGCGGCTATTTCTGCCTAGCGCGCGTTCAGCTGCAATTAAGCGAACTTTAGCGCCATCTGACAAGGAATGGCAGAGCGGAAGCTTCCGTTGCTCCTCAGGACTGTTGCACTCATGTCTGTTGTAGCTAGGGTGACATTCTCCATTGCATGATCGGAAGCAGCCTGCCCCCACATTCAGCAGGCGAGCCGTATGCCTCGCAAAGGCTCATACGGTCAAGTTTCGGCTTCAACTTGGATCCTTCTGTCCCCTCAATCTCCCCGTCACTACCAGCTCAGGGGTGAGAACCGGCGGCTTCGCCGATCGCGGGGTTAACCCACGGGACTTGACCTCACAAGGCTTGGCGTTGCATTCAAGGGGTTCAATCGGACAGATGAACAAGGTCAAAGTTGTGTCACGACCCGAGGTAGCACCGACACTACTGCTGTGCAATGATTTCCTTCACTTCAATCTTGGGCGAGCCAGATAGCTCAGAACATGCATTTCCATTCGGCACTTTGTGGATTAAGGGGCGTGCCCGATGACATATGCTAGCAGGACGAAGATGGTAGATGATTTATGTGAGCATGCTAACGCTTGTTGTTATCGCAAGAGCGTGAACTCACTGGCGAAGCTTCTCTTGGCGAAGACCATTTCCCCCTCCCTTACGATTTCATAATTGGATCGGTTCCTTTCTTCTCGTTCTGTCCTCCTGATGAGCGAAGCCATATCTTGCAATCCATCATCACTCCTCCTTCGGTGTACCTGATCTGGCGGCTGTTCTTCAGGTCCGGAATCGGATTCAGAGTCAGACACCTCCTTGTTGTGCGCGTCCGCCGCGTCCCTAGGGAGCACCTCCGCCGTAACCTTAGCAAAACCAGCTTCTTGCATGGCCTCGATCACTTCGCAAAGAGACCAGACGCGAAAGTCGTATGCGAATACGTCTCGGAGCCATGAACCTGAACGTACGTAGCACCACAAGATTAGCGCGGATGCAAAGATTGGCAACGCTTCGCAAAAGAGCTCACCGTCCTGGAATCGGAAGCTGAGGCTCATCCGGAAACGATTGGTCATGTAGTCCACTGGCCCATCTTCCCTCCAATATTCAAAGTCTTGCTCTTCTCCCAATGTGCCGTGAGCAATCTTCGGTGTCCACTTCCCCTTGCGTACCAGGAGCAGATTGCCCCTGGGCCAGTGTCGCGAGGATGAAGAAGAACCAACCCGACTTTCGGGGTGACTTTCGTCCGCGGGATTAGAGCCTGAGTGCTCGTCATCATTCCGCCAAACCCGCACGTCCGCGTTACCAGGATCGGGCCTCGGATCTCCCGACCTCATGAACCCAGGTTCCCTGCCGAATTTGTCCCAAAGCGGCGTCTGCTCGGGGTAAATCTCATTGCCTTGCGGGCCGGCGAATTGATCGCAAACGAAGCGACCAGTGTGAGACCGAAGTGTTCTGACGACTTGCCGCAGGTAGCCCAATAGGCCTGCACGATCGTGAAAGTAGCAAAGAGCGTAGTTGAGCGATGCCACAACGTCAGGCGGAGGAATTTGCAAAGTCGACGGCAGCGAGAGAGGGAGACTCAAGACGTCGGCGTGTAATAATGTGAGTCGTGGTTTCTCAGCATCTGCAGAGGATGGCGGCGTCTGCGAAACGTTTTGCGTAAGCAGATCCCTCTGCTGGGGTTGCACGGCTTGTTTTTGTGAGCGTGCCAGCTTCTTGGCGAGCTTTCTATCGAATCTATCCGTTGCTGCACCAGGTGCCCAGGAGGCGCCTTGAACCGGATTTCTGCGTTCTGTACCCGATGTTGCGTCGCAAGGGTCGAGCTGGACGCCGAACGCATCCTTAGCCTGTGCGTATTCTGAACTTTGCAAGATGCGCACGTCTCTCGCTCCGAACAGCCTCTGATTGTGTTGCAGAGCTGCTAAATCAATGTCGACGCCCTGGGACGAGTATTCCGGACCCAATGAGAGCCAGTGGTGAGCAACAAGCGCGCTGCTGCAAAAGTCCTCCCTCAAGATTTTTGCTTCTGGCACCTCGCTGTCTTTATCTTGCGATGCGCAGTAGATACTTTCGATGTTCGCACACTCTGCAGCTGGGTCTTGCACTGCTTCGGAATACACTGCAAGGGCATCTGCCTTGGAAGCCAGCGTTCCTGACCATGGTCGGATGGAAGGACTTGTACCGCCCTCGTCCTCCCTTTCAATCTTCGGTGAACCTCCGAAATTGAACAGTCTGGGATCTGCCATGGCTGCTCCGACGCCAGGAAACCTTCTCCGCGGGGCGTGTACTGCCTGGTCAGGGCGCTTCCGTTTTGCAATTTGTACCAGCGTACACGGCACCTTTCAATCAACTTTGAATGTTGACGTCTCTGTGTGACTTGGGTTTCAGCTTCACTCATGTGTCTGACAACATGTTCTGAATCTGAATCATAAATACACAGCACTCATCTACTGCTGCTGATGGATGAGTACACGACGTGGCTCAATTACGTGCGTAAGTACGCATAGCGCACTCACGACGACGGCGTCCAATCGCAAAACAAGCGAAATTTATTGGTGATTCTTGAATCACGATTCAACCGAAATTGCGAGTGTCAATCAAGAATAATGTGCACCCAGAGCATACGTTTACGTCTCTCTGTCTCATCTAAAATCAAGAATTTGAATCCAGAGGAAAAAAAGAAACAATTTGATTGAGAACTTGTTTTCTTTTTTCGGCCGCCCATGCATCGCTTGCACGCCGGTCGAGAAATTCGATTCACGTGACAGAAGTAGTTGGTGCGATCCTTCACAGCGCACATGAGAAGTGTCTGTCTGCCTTGCAGCGACCTGACTTCGGTCGACGATCATAACGACGCAACTTCGCTAAAACTCGTTATGGAATCGAAATGTAATGGCAGCCGATAGCTTAGCTGGTCGAGGTGGATATCCCAGCTTCGAGCGGCATACTGCTTGGCTCATAGCATGCTTAATCCTACCGGTGACCCCGACCCGAAGCTTTCCATTTCACGGCTGGAGCCGGAGTCACTAAATGTGGAGCGTGCGAGAAGAGACGGTGCAGCAGAGGTGGCGGCGTGGCGTGGCGTGGCGCAGCCATGCAGTAGGGGCCTCCTCCCGGCACAACGTATGCCGCGCCTCACCGTTGTGTCTGCTTGGTCTGCGGTAGGCGCGTGCACTGTGACTCTTCTAAATGCAAGCAGACGCACAAGAAGCACACGAGCAGCGTAAGCATCCGAGCACAGCCTGTGCCTGCTGATGTGCCCCACTCGTGGCTCGCGCGTCAAAGCGTAGAGCTGTGCCAGCGAGCTGCAAGAAGAGCTGAGAAACCCAACCGACTCTGCTTCAGATGAGGTGATGCTTCTGGTGATAGCTGGATTTCACTTCCCCGCCCTCTACCACCTCTTGACCATCGAGAGCAGCAAGCTCATCCGGTCATACGCTTTGCGTCACGTAGCCTACCTATCTCACACGTACGCATCAGGGCGCCCGGACGGTGCAACGACATTCCTTCGTGTTCACACTCACTTCACATTCGATTCGAGCTTCCTTTAGGCCCCTGTCTTCATTCATCGTGCTCACGCCAGAAAAGATCCAGATCTACTCAAGTCACGTCTAAGTAGTGCAATATGGCTGACTCGAAAGCTCCTGCAGACAGGAAACCTCCCAGCGAGGGCGCTGCGGGCGGTGGCGGAACGCGCGGGGGGCACAGAAGACCTGGCTCACAAGGTGGCGGTCGCGGAGGCGCTTCAAACACCGGCCTCAACAGTAGTACCAATGGCGCTTCTCACGCTGGCACAAATGCCCCTCGTCGGGGTGGTTCTGGCGGTCGCGGTGGAGCCCCGGGTGGAGGCGGAGCTCAGAGAGGTGGTGGTGCACACAGGTCTCAACAAGGGCGACGTGATGGGCTACCTGGCAACGGCCAGCTGCAAAGCTCGTCCGATCCGAGCCTTGCGATGAATAACCTTCAGCATCTTATCGAGGTGAGCAGTCGCCACGTCATTGCTTTTCTCTCAGCAAGAGTACAGCTGACCATGTCTTCTGAATCGGCACTTCAGGACATGAAGGCCAGCTCAGCGCCCAATGCCGCAGCTGTCCCTGCTGCTGGAGCCACTGCCGGCGAGGCGGATGCGCAGGCTCAGCTCGCCTCGATGGGTGCTCGTCTGGCCCAACAAGAAGAGCAGCTACAAGCCCAACTCGCTGCTCAGCTCGGCCGCTCAAATGAGTCAAAACCGTTTAGTCGTGGTGGTCCCTTGCCATCCTTAGGCGAAGATGTCGAGGCGCCTTCGCCTCCCAGCTTGCCGTTCAATCCGTCTCATCATCGCCAGGGCGGACCGCGCTTTGCCGGCAACGTAGCGTTCCAGAGCGCTCTTGCACGCCACGGAGGGGACCAGACCAGTAATGCGCACTCCAGACAATTAAGCCTCCAAGCTCGCTTCGCCGAGATGGGCATGGGCAGCGGAAACTATGATGCGGAGGACGCAACTGATGATGGCAGCTCAATCGCTGACTACATGGGCGGAGGGGCTTTTGATCCTACGCGGCACCACGATAATGGGCATCGCAGAACCGGCAGCGAGATGCCGCTCAGCACTGCAGCTCGATCAGGCCACTTGCAAAGCGCAAGCTTTGGTGGCGGCAGTCCAACCGGAGCTCCTGGTGGAGGTCTGCTCGCAGAACAGCTGGCATTGCAGCAACAGATCGAGGTGAGCCATACGCCCGCATATATCGCAAGCAGCACTCCTGACCGTAATGTCGCTTCACAGATGCTGCAATTGCAGCAGCAGGCGCTCCTGCAGCAACAAGTCCATTTCAATCCATCCAGCGCTCTAGGCGGCCAACCAACTTCTCCGATGGGACCGGCATCAGGTGCTCGAGGCGGTCAACATAGGCGCATCCAGAGCCACGCCCCGCAGACTGGTCCGATGGGAAGTTTTTCGACAGGCAACACCTTCGGCCTCAGTGGCGGATTCAACCCTCAGCCTCATCAACAACTTCAGCAACAGGGCGGTGGTAATGTGCCTAGAGGCCACGGTCGCAGACACTCGGTCAACATCGTGAACAAGAATGCTCAAGCTGCCCAAAGTCAACAGCAGCAGTTAGGCGGTTCTGTCGATGTGCCAGCACCGACGATGAACGCAACGATGGACTTTTCATTCCCTCCTCAACAGCAAGCGCAGCAAAGCATGCCTCAACCCTCTCCATACCAGCCTTCCACGCGGACTGGCCACTTCAGTCATCCCTCAGTTCAGTTGGCGTCAACTCTCTCTCCTGAGTATCTGATGGCCGGCGGTGGCTTGCTCAATCTGGGTAGCCTCGGGGGAGGCAACAACATGACGGATCTTGCAGATGGATTCGCTGGACAGGGCGGTGGCGCTAGTGGTCGAGGCGGTCATGGTCGCACGGGGAGCGCAAGTTGGCGCATCAATGGCCCTGCGCCGGGCGCCGGTCAGGTCATGGACCTGTCCGCTGCACAAGCTCAGCTGGCCTCTTTACATCAATTTAGGGCACAATCAGGTGCCACCGGTGGCGGAGCACATAACCGCAACACCTCTTTCGGCGGCGGCTTCAACCCGGCCATGCTGCCTGGCTTCGCTGGCGGTCAATTTGGTTATGTGCCAGGGATGCCACCTCAGCCACAGGGAGGCAACGCGGCCTCGCAGCGCAAGGCACTTTTCGGTTCGTACCTGCCTCAAGCATCTCTGCCGCCTCTGCTCGCTGCAGGCAAGCTCGTAGTCGGCATTCTGCGTGTGAATAAGCGCAACAGGTCGGACGCCTGGGTAACTACCGAGGTGCTCGACTCGGATATCTTCATCTCCGGCTCCAAGGATCGGAACCGTGCACTCGAGGGCGATCTCGTCGCCGTCGAATTGCTGGATCCAAACGAGGTGTGGAGCATCAAGAAGGACAAGGAAGACAAGAAGAAGCGCAAGGAAGAACAAGGCAATGTCGTTGCGCGCAAGCCAGACAAGGCCAAAGACGATCTCGAAGTCGAGGGTGCCCAGCTCAAGCTCATTGACGACGAAGAAGAGAATGATCAGAGTCCACCGGCTCTGGCTGGTCACGTTGTTGCCATCGTAGAGCGAACGCCTGGACAGCTTTTCAGTGGCACGCTTGGTCTCTTGCGACCCTCCTCCGCTGCGACGAAGGAGAAGCAACAAGCCGAACGAGCCTTGCGAGAGGGTGGCGATGGCACTCAAGGTCAAGAGCCGCAGGCGAGGCCTAAGATCGTCTGGTTCCGACCCACAGACAAGCGCGTGCCACTGATCGCCATTCCAGCTGACCAAGCTCCGGCAGATTTCTGGGAAGAAGGAGGTCAGGAAAGCTACAACAATCGTCTCTTTGTCGCTTGCATCAAGCGCTGGCCTATCACGTCTCTCCATCCCTTTGGCACGCTTGTCGAAGAGCTTGGAGTCATCGGCAACACGGAAGCCGAGACACAGGCGTTGCTCAAGGACTGCTTGAGCTCTGCAACCGAAGACTTTGGCGAAAATGCCCTCAAATGCTTGCCGCCGCTGCCCTGGTCAATTCCCGAACGCGAACACGATGTGCGCAGAGACTTCCGTTCCACAAGAGTCTTCACGATCGATCCCGCCACCGCCAAGGACCTTGATGACGCCCTCAGCATCACCAGGCTTGAAGGTGGCCTGTTCGAAGTGGGTGTGCACATTGCGGATGTTTCACACTTTGTCAAGATTGGCAGTGCTCTCGACCGCGACGCTCGCAAGCGTGCGACCTCAGTATATCTGGTTCAAAGAGCCATTCCAATGCTTCCTCCGACCCTGAGCGAAGAGCTCTGCTCCCTGGTGCCAAATGTCGAGCGATTGACCTTTAGCGCCGTTTTCACGATGAACAAAGACGCCCGGGTCATTGGCAGCTGGTTCGGCCGCACGATAATCAAGTCTTGCGCTAAGCTGGCTTACGGTGATGCTCAGCAGGTGATCGAAGGCGTGGATGCTAACGAAGCTATTCCACTCGAGAAAGTCGACGCCAACTCTTCACACTCGCAGACGGACATCGCAGGCGACATCCTTTTGTTGCATGAATTTGCCCAAAAAATGCGTGCTCGGCGCTTTGAGGGTGGCGCTTTGCGCATAGACAACACTCGGCTCAGCTTCCGCCTCGATGATCTTGGTCAGCCCACCGACGCGATCCCGCACAAACTCGCAGACGCGAATCGCGTTGTTGAAGAGTTCATGCTGTTGGCGAATACGTCCGTGGCGCAACAAATCGCAGCTGGCTTGCCCGATGTCGCCCTTCTGCGCCGTCACGAGCGTCCCATCCTTCGACGGTTGGAAGGCTTCAAGGCTCGCGCTGCCCAAATGGGATTCGACGTTGATATTTCGAGCGCCGGTGCGCTTTACAAGAGCTTGTCCTCAATCAAAGATGTGGGTCAAAGAGCGGCCCTCGAGACGCTTGCCACAAAGTCCATGCAGAAGGCCAAGTACTTCTCCACCGGCATGGTCGACATTGCCAAGTACGCGCACTTTGCGCTCAATGTGCCAGTCTACACGCACTTCACAAGTCCTATTCGTCGATACGCAGACGTGATGGTCCATCGACAGCTCGAAGCCGTCCTGCAAGGCACCGACAAGTTCCCGGTGGATCGTGAAGGTATGGCCAAGATCGCGCAGCAATGCAACGTCAAACGTGACGCTGCAAAACTTGCACAGGAGCAGTCTGCCCACTTGTTCTTGTGCTTGCTCATCCACGACCTTACTGTACGCTATGGTCCAGTCGTACGGCAGGCCACAGTCATCGGAGTGCTCGACGCCGCTTTCGATGTGGTGGTCCCCGAATTTGGTCTCGAGAAGCGCGTGCATACGGATGCGATCCCGCTCGAGCACTACCAGTACGACGAGCACACGAATAGTCTTTCACTCTACTGGAAGCAGGATATCGACGTCCTCTCATATCTGGCTGAGACGGGCGACGATGTCCATGTGCAAGGCCTGCGCCGTCTCGAATTGGCAAGGGCAATGGAAATGACTTCTCAGAGTCACACGGACGAAGCGGCGCTGTTCGATGACGAGGACGACGAAGTGTTGGCAGAAGCAAAGCGCAAAGTCTTCAGCGGCGAAGACGCGAAGGGAAGCACTCAACGCATGCGCTCTTTCCAGAAGCAAGAGCTCACATTCGACAATACTACTGTGACCAACGGTCACCACATCATGACGGTGAAGAGCCTTGCCACGCTCCCCGTCATCATCACCGCCGACATCACGAGATCGCCGCCTGTCCTCAAGGTGTTCTCTGTCAACCCTTGGGCGCAATCGAGTGCTCGCACGCCTGCTGCCTGACGAAACGAGAGCGATGACTGCTGTTCTTTGGATGTGTAGATCTCAAGCTCCTGAGTCGCCAGTGCACTCCGATCCTCATGGTGGCCAAAATGCCCGATGCCCCGCTTACGAGTCGCCAAGAATCAGGTCTCCTCACGTTTGTTCTTTCCATGCAACGATAATCACGAATGAAATGGTTGATCTGATCTGATGTGATCTGATCTTGTCTCCACATGTCTGAGGTGTCACTTCTATCATCGTACCATTTCGATCCTGTGCGGTGCACAATTTGCCGCGCACGAGAGCCACAAGTAGACGGGTATCATTTATGCCGCTCATGTGTAGAATAAAGACGCATGAGGCGAAAAGACCGATGCAGACCGATGAAGCGAGCCAAAGTAGAGGTCAATGGAGAATCAGACACGAAAGAAGGTGGGCGCACCGATGTTCAGTGCGTGTGTAATGGTGGGTGATAGGGGAGGGGCTTCCTTAACTCGATGACGTGGTGGAAATGGAGTGACGATGCAAGATCTAATAAACGGTGGGAGACTGCAGAGGAGCTTCGAAAGACCGGGTCGAGCATGACTTTAGCCCCTCGAGGGCGAAGCGGGTGTATTCTGGCTACTTGCGCTGGTCGATCTCAAAAACTTTGAGGGCGGAGGGGTGGGCAAGCCGCCAATGTTGCTTTCTGCACTGGCAGCGGGCGGAGCTGTAGCAGAGGCCGCTCCCGCAGGTGGATTGTCGCTACTCAGGCCTACCGGAGGGGTCATGGGAGGTAAGGGTTGCACACCTAACGAAGGACTTGCAGCTGCGCTCGGGCTCGGGCTTCCTGCCTCCGAACTTTTCCTTCGCATGTGACTTCTTGGACTTCGAGTTTCTTTGCTTGCTGCAGCAGAAGTCTCACCGGAGGCGTCTTTCTCCTTGGAAGGGTCCTTCCTCGAGGGTCTCCTGCTAGGGGTCGTCTTTGACCTCTTGACGGTTGCCCCGCTAGGTGTGCCGCCCCCTAATGCCACTGGTGCATTGCTCTGTCCTCCAATATCTTCTTCCTCCACCTGATCTTTCCGCATGTTGGGGCTCAATCTGCCTGCTCCTCGAATCCCAGCAAAAAGACCCTTCCGACGCGCCGGTGAAGGAGTCGCCTGACTTGCCGCTCGCGCCATGGCTGCACCACCACCCTCATGCACCTCCAACTCTCCTAAATCCTCATCTGAGTCGGAGGGCAAATCCGTTGTTTCCTCCGTCGCTGGCTGCGAGACCGAAGTGAGCTCGGCAGGTGCTACGTTTGCAGGTGGTGGCGGACCGATGGACAAGACAAAGTGATCTTGATGCTACCATCGGGGGACGAGTCGAGATGAGTCAGGCGATGCGAGCACGCGCCTTTGCCATTCAAGCGATCCTCACCTCGATCAGGAACTCCAAAACCTGTACGGCCACCTTGTGCTCGTCTGGCGACTGCAAGTGCGAAGGATGCGAAAACATGCCGGGCTGAAAGATGACAGCCAAATCTGCGCATGATGCTCCGGGTCAATGGGTGCAGGTCCCACGCGGTATTCAGGGCCCGGCGCTACTCACTGCTGGCGGGCATCAGATTGACTTCTGACTTCCGAGCAAAGACGGCCAAGAGGTCCAAGACGTAGAGCAACAAGTACTGACTTGCCGGAGGACTGGAGTTGATGAGCAGCTTGTAGGTCTTAATAGCTGCGTCCACATCCAAAGGCTCTTTGAGCATCGGAGCTCTGAACTCGTTGTACAGATGCAAGGGAATGATGGGTTCCTAAGACCAGCAGAGAGATTACAGCCGAAGTGCCGTCGTGAGCCAGGTAAAGAGGACACAGTGATGATTGACCCTACCCCTAGACTCACAGGCATTTGGTTGAGATACCGCCGGAGCACAGAGGCTGCGTCGTGGACACTGTACTTCGACCAGTCCACATTTTTGCCATATCTAGGAGGCGTGTCGAATACTTCTTGCAGCTCGCGCATGCGCTTTTGAGAGCCAGCTATTCTGAATACACCCTCCACCTCAGTCGCTGCAAAAGACACACGCGAGTCAGCGCGCACTCGTTGGGAGGGTAGTGGCCATAACGACGATGGCGTACGTCTCAGGCCCATACTGCGTAGCCGGCCCCAGCTCAACCCGACGTGGCTTGTTGGCTGGCAACATGCAGACTCACCATTCTCTTTCAGGTATAAGCCCACCTTGGCAACTATGACAGGCACGTAACCCCAGACATACTGCTGCCCATCCTCTCCTGCCATACTGATCGCTACACTGGCATACTTTAAGCTCCTCCTCAAAGGCTGTCCAAACACTCCGGTTTCCGCTTGCACTGTTGTGATCGTTCGCACAAGCGGATGAGCGGGTGGACCGGAAGAGTTGAGAATGGTGAGACGAAGACGCACCTTTGGCTGTTTTGGCAGCGTTGGCCGTCTTGACTTTGGTGAATGCAGACCACTAAAGAGCGCGCGCAAAGCCTCAGTACTACCATGATAGCCGACCTGCCGCCCGCGCATTCACTCACCCATGCTCTCAAGCTCTTCGACTCGGGGCGCGTCTCGCCTACTGTGGCAGATGTCATTGCTGCGATTGCGCAGGGGCTAGACTCAGAGTGTGCAGCGCGACCCTTTCAGGGAAGGCCGGAGGTGACGATGCCCTCGGGACAAGCGGCTTCAAGGTCAATCGAATGGACACTTCTAAGATTGCGGTGTTCTTGTCGGAGTCCGTGAAATGTGACGCCTCTAGACTGCGTGGTGATTCTTGGTCTTGAGAGTCCAAATTGAGTGCGGATACTGACGAAGATGAGGTGAAGATGCCTCGCAAGCTGGAGATGCGTGACTATTGCTTGGGTGATGAGAAGTAGAAGCCTGCTAATCGTTGGACGCAGATCCAAGAATGCGCGGGTCAGTGCGTTCGTGGTCGCAAAATGGCAGCGATGATCGCCCAGTGAAGAGGAGCGAGCGGCGAGATCAATTAATGTCCAAGTGCCCTTTGCCTGATCCGTCTGCTATGATTGATGCGCTCTCAGATCGCCGTTCAGCGGCACTATACTACTTGCAGGCTGAATGCAGCGCGCTGCTGACTTGTGACTGCGATGCTGATGGTCTGCACCGCGCGCATCGTGACACGCGCCGCCCATCGAGCCTGTCGAGGCCAGGCAACATCAGACGCGCTCATTCAGCAGCCACTCGTCGCGTGTCGGAGCGCAACAGTATACACGCGCAGTCATCAGGCGGGGGACCTAAATTCAAGGCATACCGTCTCAGCCCCGCAGCTTATACACCACACATCTAGCGCACGCAGCAGGACTATATATGTACCCATCGGTATCCTTGGGTCGTCACATCGATCCAGTCGCGGCATTCAAAGTCGACTTACAATTCACGATGCTTCTGACTTGCGTACACCCTCGCTGCTCCCACCAGCTATAAAGGCGGTAACCGACCTAGAGCTTACACAAGTCCCGGCAGGGAGTCGTGAGTGGGCACGAGTGGCCTGGCTGCTGGGTGCTGGCTGGCTTGATGAGGCTGAAAAAGCGCGTGTATGAATTCGCGAATACGTGCACGGGAGCATCCAAAACGCATGCGTGCATGCCTGTTGCAGCGAGCTGATGCTGAAACAAGATGAAATCGTGAAACACAAATCGTGAATCAAGAATTTTGAATGGATCACAAGATGTGCGCCCACCACAGCAGTCACGAGTCTTGAGTCACGCACACTCTTGACTGGCAAGAGCATGACCAAGGCTCTGCTTTTGTCTGTCTGTCTGCTGTCTGCATATATGCAGCAAGCACGCATGCATGCACGCTCCTGCGCCATGAGACAGGCGGCGCGACCGCGAGTATTCAATTCAAGATTAAGCGGGCGCTGCTGCTGAAGGAGCACTGAGTGACTTGAATTTATGAATAGGCGAAGGATGCATCATCGGACGCCATGCATGCATGCATCCCTGCAGCGTCAACGTGCGCGTTCACCCCAGCACGCACATGGGCGGGGCCTTTAATTGAGTTGCCTGAATCAAGAATCACGGATGCGATGAGGTGCGGTGACTTATTTGGAAGACCGCCGCCGCCGCTCGAGAACGGAGCTGCAAGTCGTGAATCTATCTGGGATCTCTGTTCGCTCAGCACTCGCGACTCGTAGCTCGTAAATCTTGAATGCTTCCATCATTTGGCGGCCCGTGACTCCACGCTTTGAGAGCTTTACATGCAACGCCGCATCCACCGAGGGACAGAAGACGCCCTGTGGCACCAGACTTGCTGGTCTGCAGCATACACCAAGACCACAGAAACAAGCTCGAGCGCGCAAAAGTCTCTGATTGAGACGTTGCACGCAAGGCCCTGGCCTGATTCCGTCAGAGGGCAATCGTGCCCAGCTTGACTGTGAGACTTGCCTGCACTGGTTACGACAGGCGGCGGTACAGCTGCACAGCTTGCACGACCTCGACTGCCAAGCGTGCTCTGGGTCAGGATGGCAGTCGAGATCGGAGATCGTGACCTCGTCGGGGAGATGATCTCTGCTGCAGAGGACCTGGTGAAATCACACTTTGCCAAGCTCAGAGTGGATCCCTCGCATGATTGGCATCACGGTGAGAACTGAGCATTCATGCATACGTCGGGTCTTCCAGCTGAATCTCGCCACGCCCGGGTTGAACAAGTTCATCGAGTACGACAAATGTCCATTTGGCTTTCCCGATGTCCGTCCTTACCATCTCAACCGGACATGATCACACTGGAACTCGCAGCTCTTTTTCACGACATGGCGGATGCCAAGTACGACCCGACCGCCTCCGCTCGCACGCTATTGTCGCCCTTTCTCTCGCGGTATCCTCAAATTCTTGAAGAGGAGCAAGTCAACCTGATCATTCGGATAGTTGAGAATGTGAGCTGGAGCAAAGATCAAAAGCGCAGAGCAGAGCGACAGAAGCGCGAAGCTGCAGGCTTGGAAGAGACGGCAGAAGAAAGAGAAAGAACGAAGTGGGAGGAGAGCTGCTCTGAGCTTGCTTGTGTTTCGGATGCTGACCGACTGGACGCCATCGGAAGCATGGGTAAGTCGCTTGTAGCCATATCCATATCATATCTTGGTGACCTCCTTTTGCTCAGCATTTTTGGCGCGGTATCTATCCCATTCTGCACATGCATGTGCAGGGATTCTCAGAGTTGCGGCTTTCTCAGGCGCAAAGGATAGACCTCTTCACATACCACCTGCGAACCCAGCAGGGGATAGCGTGCCTCCAGCAGAACAAGGCGAAGGCTACAATTCTTCGGCCATTGCTCACTTTCACGACAAGTAAGTGCAAGAATCTACTCCGTGCTTTCGAGTGGACGGTATAATGGAATACTAACACATCACTGCTGTGACCTCAGACTACTGAAGCTCAGAGGCGAAAGATTGCGAACAGAGACTGCCAAGCAGGAAGCTGAGCGTAGACAGATGATGGTGAGCAGGTGACGTCCGCGGTCAGTCACAAGCACAGCTTGACTGACACCGACGCTTTGCACACATCGCTATCACCTTCTTAGATGAAGTCATTCCTGGACGAGCTGGATCTTGAATGGCAAATTGCGGATCAAGGTGCCCAGCTTGCTATACTCGAGGGATAATGTCCACTCTATCGCGTTGCTTGACCAGCGTCATTGCGATGTGCGCGCGGTACTGTAGCGCAAGCTCGAATGATCTATGGATGGCGCAGATCCGAAGCCGAATTTCTCTTAGCTTTCTTGGCTGCCTTCTTGTCACTTGCAGCTTCGAGAGCTGCGCCGGATAGTTTCGAGGCGTGGGATGGCTCTGCACTTTGATCCTTCCGCTTCTTAGACACTTTGGTGGCCGTTGTGGATATTCCTACCTCACCGCTGTCGATCTTCTTGACCCCGCCGTGCTCATCCCGCGAGGTTGCTTTCCTGGCGGCGGGACTTTTTGCCGCTGAAGCGTTCCCGAGAGTCGAAGAATTGGCCTCAGTATTCAATGCTGCCTGACTCTGTGGACCTGCTCTCGCTTTGCGCTTCTCTTCCTTTTTGGCTTTCTGCGCGGCTTTGTAAGCTCGCCTCCTCTCGCTCTTTGTCATTCCGTCCTTTTTCTTCGGTGATGCATCGCTTTTGATCGAGGTCTTTGAAGACGAAGGCTGCGTCCAATGGGGCGGAATCAGCGTCGTTCGGGCTGGTGGACGCTAGTGGATACTAGGGACTTACCTTGGCTTGCTTGTGCTTCTTCCGGCTTGCCTCTGCTCGCCGCGACGCCGCTGCAATTTCGGCAACGATGTGACGGGGATCTGCACCTCCCTCAGAAGGCGGCGCCGTCCTTTCCTTCTCCGACAAGTTCTCCCCAATATATGCCTCGAATTTGGCGAGTCGCTTTGCATGTGCCTGTACATGTTCAAACGTCAGAGTCATAAAGACTTACGGCAGCTGCGCGGACGTCACCTGCCCGGCTACCCACCTGGCTGGAAACGTGATCCTGCGTGTCCTTGTCGTTTTTTAGCTGCGCATCTGGACAAAGGACGCACGATCGAATTTGAAAGGTCTTCTTCAAGGGCGCATCGAACGCTACGTAGATCGTGCTTTCAAGCGCTTGAGGGATGGACATGGGTGCCTGCTCTAGGTCTAGCTCCTCCTCCTCCTCCTCATCTACCTCTTCATCATCGTCGTCTCGGCTGCTTTCCTCTTCATTCTGAGCTGTTTCGACAAACTCTGCACCATCTTCGGCCTCGTTTGCTGTATCATGGCCTGATTCATCATCTTCTGAATCATCTTCGGACTCGCTGTCGCTCTCATCTTCGTCATCTGAGAATCCCATCCTCGCTTCGGGCGGGAAGTCTTCTCCCACTGGGATACCAAGCTTCTCATCCCTCTCATTTGCCTTGGCTAGCTTTGCTATTCTCTTGAACATGACTGTTCCACTCGTGACGTTTGAGATTCAAGATGGGGCTTGATGTTTAGCTGCCGTTGATTCTAAGCCAGCGCGGTCGTGAATCTTGAATGAAGTGGATGTGGTGAGAATCGATGGGAAGCACATATGGTAAGTCGGTGCATGCTGCTCAAAAAATTCGTGGAGGCCGCCGTGCGCCTATAGACGCAACCGGAACTCCGCGCTTTTCCGGACAGCTAGGCCGACAAACATGCAGCGTGGCATACACGTCCGTTTGGAACCACATATCTGAGCTGTCATCGTGCCTGTATCTGGCTAGCGTGATATCGACGAATGTCTTCTCTCCACACATCCATCGTGAACCTACCTTGAGTATTGTCACTCCGCAAACAGGACCGCGCTTCACCTATCTTGACGTCTGTCAGCAACGAACGCCTAGGGTGCGGTGATCCAGAAGAGTTGCGGCCTTGACAACCACAGCGAACAGGCTTTCGACAAGTGGTCAGACAATGTCATCCTCTCCGCCGCCAGCTCGACTGCCGTCCAGCTTCATTGATGCTCATTTGTATCCATCAGCCAAGAGAGAGACTCGTGCATCCAGAGGCGCGGTCAAAGAGGAGCTCGAGGTCTGTATTCATGCCAGATACGACAGTCTGAGGAGGTCGACGCGCGCCAAGCAGTCGAGAATCAGGACCACTCCAGCGAGCGATGCCAGGTCCAAATTTGAAAAGGACGAAGCTGCCAATAATGTCCCGGAAGCCAACCCTCAAGCAGCAGCTACTATGCGAGGCCATAAGCGTATCAAATTGGAGCAAGGTGGAGGTGAGAATGACTCGGGGGACTCCTCTGGCCACGCCCAAGCGGAAGAAATCTCCATCCTTCCGGGTCTGCCCGATCATTTGGGCAGCCAGCCAGGAGACGTTGACAGTGAGTGCCGGAAGGAAGTCGGTGGGTGATGCACAACAAGTCTGAAACTACTTCTGTGCGTGTGATGCTGCCTCGCAGTCCTCATGTGCGGCATCAATCCTGGTCTGACCTCGAGTCGCGTGGGGCATCACTTTGCGCACTGCACCAACGTGAGTCACCGGACTCAGCTCAACTTCCAAACAGGCCGCTCATCATGTTGGCCATCACTGCCCAGCAGCACTTCTATCCAGCACTGTATCGATCTGGCCTTACACCAACGCGCGTTTCTCCGCAGGAAGATGCTTCGCTCCAATACCAATCTGCGCCCTATCCCAAGCTCGGTCTCACAAACCTCTGCGCTCGTCCGACAAGGGACGCCGGCCTACTCAAACCGGCGGACTACGCAGCAGGAGCTCCGATATTGGTACAGAAAGTGGCCCAGGTCAGACCTCGAATCGTCACATTCGTAGGCAAAGGCATCGCCGAGACTTTTCAGAAGGGCGTATTTGGCAGAGTAGCAAAGCAGACTACGAAAGCTCAATCCGAAGAAACGAAAAAGGCACCAAGCAAGCAGGAGGGCCAATCGGTGTCGAGCAAAGAAGAGGGACTTGCGACTGCTGAGCGGATGAGTGTCCGGGTGCCTACTTGCACGCCCCTCGCGAGGGATCACAATGGGCTCGGTCTACAGGACTACGTGATCGTGCCCGAGCTCAATGCGCACACAGCTCCTAAATTAGCCACGGCGGAAAATCCTGTGCTCTTCTGGTGCACACCTTCGACTTCCGGCAGAGTGACGACGCACGACTTAGCCGGGAAGGTGCATTGGTTCGAAGGGGTTCAGGTGCTAGATCAGCAACTGAGAGGTTTGGTGAAGGCGAGCGAATGGATGGATGTCGATGTGCGCGTAGTCAGGCCGCCCACGACGCCCCTCAAAGTCAAGGTCGAGCCGATCGTGAAGGACGAAGCGGCGCAGCTAGCCTGACGGAAGCATGCACACCACACTCGACGCCAGTCTATGGCCCTCTGTTTCTTCGCCTTTGGCTCATCAAGCCGAGCGCGGAGTAAATGGTCGGATCCCTGCTCGAGCGTCATCCTGCATCGTTGGCGCTGTCGCTCCGCACACCATACGATCGAGGCGAATGTCGATGGCGTACCCGAAATCGAGCACGAGCCTCACCGCCGTGGGCTCCAGCCAACGAATCCTGAGCTGAGACATCCATGAATCGTCATTTGGTCATGAAGCTGTCGTCAAGGACACGGTGATTCGTACCTCGGCGTGCGACCGTGTACTAAAGCTCCTCTCTTGCCCTCAAGCGGTAGTCCTCTCTTCGAGGGTAGTCCTCAAGAGTAGCCAGCTTCCAGAGGCAACTGGTGCGGCGGGGCCCTCCTGAAATTGAGACAACCTTCGCACGACGAGCAATTTGAATTCATGGGATTAGAAAAGTGTTGAAGTTAAGACGAAACGACCTGATGAATCTTTGAATGAGGACATTTGGGCTGCTGGTGTGACTCGCGGCAGGTTCATGCATCAGGATGCAACTTTGCGCGCTTTCAACGCTAGAGGTTCTCGCGGGACGCTTCGTGTGTAAATCTGCCCTTTGTGTACAATATGGAGACGCGTGAATAGACGACAAATAAAACGATTTAAGAGGAGAGAGCTGCGTGAACGTTTGCAATCAAGAATGACACGCCAGGTACCGTGGCAGTCACGAGTATCTGTCGTGATGAGAGGCTCGGCAGGAGGGATTGGGGCTGTGCGTCGCTGGGATGCTCCTGTCGAGCACCACCTACTGTGACTGCTGTTTACAGAACCCAATGCGCAACCAATCGGCACTCAGGAGAGCACACGTCAGACTGCCTGCTAGTGCTTGCTGTTCTGAGTGCAATGATGGGCAAGCACACGCGTTCTTGCCTGCGGCGGTAAGAATCGCGATTGTGATTATTTATGGCTACAGTACCTACCGGCATTATTTGTCCCAAATTTAAGTGGCCGCTGGTGCGTGATGGCTGCGTTGTCCGTCACGACGGCATCACACGCAAGAAGTGCAAGGGCATACATATATGCATCCAAGAGTGAGTGCGTGCTGTAGCGGTGGGTACATGTAAGAGGGAAAATGATGTGCACCGCGCAGCAGGGCACATCAAGTAATAGTCAGAGTCACAGTCACAAGTGAGCCGCGTGAGACGCAAGCAGAGTCAAGAGTGTACATGCATGCTACAGCTGGCGCCTGCCGTGTCTTTTCGCGCGCCTCCTTCTGCTTGCTCCATACATGCATGCAGCTGCTGATGCCTCCCCGCTCCCTGCTGTCGCGCGCTTCTCGATGCTGGAACGGGGAGATTTCAAAGTCAGCAAGCACAGCTCGTGCCGTAGGCCGTGAGTTTGCACCGGTACCGCACCGCACCGCATCGCATCGCACCGCACCGCACAACACACGCACTCACAGCACTGCATCAAAGAGCCGACCCAGATTAGCAGCAAGCAGCAGCAGCAGCAGCACCTCCTGTGCCTTTGCTGGGTTTCCAGCATCCTCCTCTTCTGCGAGCGCTGCTGCTTCTGACTGTTGATCGCGGAACCGCGAGGCTTGTACCCTGAATGTACACCATTCTCTCTCATTCACCACTCACGACTTGTCACACCAAGTGCTCCACTGATCACACGACCAGCAAGCTCGTCCCTACACCACCTCGAAACTTCAAGCACAACGAGTGTCCAGGTCGCTCGCTCCCCTTCCATCCCAGTCGTCGAGCTGGCCGCGTCGCAGGAACGATCGCCCCGAAAGCGTCCCGCTTCTCTCCTCATCAACCTCAGCAGCGTTCGTGATCGCCCGGCAGGGTCAATTTATTCGCTTGCACCTCGCTCCGCACCTGGAGCTTCATGTTGACGAAATAGCTGCCGATCTCTGGCGTGTTGTGAATCGACGCGAGGCGTATAGGCGAATAACTTTTAATTTCGGTATAATACAACACCACCCGGAATTCTACCGAGCAATTAACGACGCCTCTCACCGACCTCCGCACCTCTCGCGGCTGGATTAATCGACCCCACCCACCAGCGTTTTCGACTTACAAGGGAATAGAGGAGTGCAAGAAGCTTGAGCGGCTCACACAGACTTCTAAACCTCGATCACTGCCTCTTCAAAGCGCCTCGGTGCACATACCTTGTGTTTCAGCGCGGTCCTTCACTCGGTGGTCTGGTGACTAGGCAACTCTCATTTCGCGCCAGATCCCAGTGTCGAGCGGTCAGTCTGCACATCATTTCAAGGTGAGTAAGCTCGGTTGTCAGATCAGAAGGGGCCAGGATTGGACGTGCGCGTGATCCGAATGCCCGTGGAGCTCGGCACCTCCGGTAGCAGTGGGCCAAGATCTTCTCATATTCAGTGTCACACTTCACGCTTGTACTGCGGCGCACCACTGCCGTTCTGGGATAGCTAGTCGCGATCCAGTTGATTTGACCTTCGCTTTCTGCCCACAGCCGAGCTGCCACCTGCAACAACGGAGCTTGTACGATGTCTGCGACAACACCAGACGCCGCCACTTTGACGTGAGTGGGACAGCCTGTCTCCGTGCCAAACTCTTGGTTCGCTCACCTTGGCTTCCCTGACCCTGACATAGTCGAAGAGCATTCGGCGTCGCAACTAGCGGGAGGAAAGACAGCTCTGGGCTCAAGCCTTCGGAGGTCGTCACCGTGCTCGGGACCTTCGCGGTGGTCTTTCTGCTTTTGCTGGCCATTGGGTGGATGTGCAAGATCTTGAACAAGCCAAGCAAAGAAGCGCAGCCGTACTACGCCACGTCCGGGCTCTATCAACCAAGCGCTGCGGGCTATGGCGCCCGGCAACCAGGCTCCTCCGCGGCTACAAAGGCCCAGACCAACCTCGCATTGCCTACGCCTGGTCAAGAGTATGGTGCTAGAACAAGTTTACTGATGGCAGCTAGTCCGATGGGAGCAGGTGGGCAAGGATACGGCTCTCCTGGTGGCAGTGGAAGAGAGGACTACTTTTCGAATGGCCCATCGATGGCCAACCATGGCAGGAATGCATCAAGTTCTGCGCGAGGTGGGCATGCTCGTGGAGAGAGCTCCGGAGTGAGGCTACCAGGCCCTTCCGCGGTGGCTCGCCGACCGATGGGAGGTGCGAGCGGGCAACACCCGCCCTTGTCAAATGGAAGTGCACCTCCGGATGGTGGTGGTTTCAAGCCGGGTCAGGTCTTCAATCATTCGGCGTCAGCATACGGAATGCAAGGCCCAGGCGGCCCACAGCACCAAATGAGAGCGGCGCCTCGAGGACCTCCGCCAGCTTCAGACCAAAATAGAAGGAGATCACGATACGCCAGACAGGGCGTTGGGGCCATCGATTCCGTCGGGCCAGGGCAGATCAGGAAGAGCATGTACATGGGCAACGAGGGCGATGACCCTACAAGTCCCGGTAGGAATCGCGCGTCCAAAAGAATCAGCCGATACCCCAGCAATTTGGGCGAAGGTGGCGGCGGAAGCTTACGGAGAGTGGATAGCGTGGGCAGAGGGGACCACCGTCGAAGGAGTCAAGCTTACAATGCGAATCGCTCGCCGAGCATGTATGGCAACAACGGACTCAACGAGCGGGCTACCTTGCGCAGCGCTGCGGCCGATAATTTTGGCGCGGGTAGAGGGCCGAGCAGCGATCCACTAGGTGCTGATCGGTCGCAGTATCAAGCTAGCGGCATGCCTCAATCTGCGCCTGCGGGATTCAACGGTTTCACGCAGGGTCCGCCAGGTGCGACTTTGCAAGTGGGAGCACGAAGGCCCTCAGGCGGGAACAATGGGCAGCAACCAAACGGCTACTCGAACGGATACTCGAACGGCTACGACGGTGCTGGTCCCCGATCGACGAATCAGCCCACTTCCTTCCTGCAGACGGATCCTCGAGCTGGACCTCGAAGTCCTGGTCTCAAAGGTGGACCACCTCGACCTATGGGCCCACCGTCACCTGGCACCGCACCTCGATACCAGGGTCAGCCTGGCATGCCATTCGCCAGCACTCCTTCGCCGGGAATGGGAGGTGGATATGGAGGCAATATGATCAGCACGGGGGGCGGAGGTAGCAGTCGACACTTGCTCTAACAGCACAGAATGTATCTCAATAATCTTGAGCGCAGTGGGAAAGCTTCCGCCGCGGTGATACTGAATACCCAAGACTCGGACGTCTGAATCCATTCGGAACATCTTTTACCTCCCCGACGTCCTCTCTTGGACGGAACACCCTCGACTTCGCACTTTGCAGGCCCGGACGATTCTATTCGATCATCGATTGGCCATCTGTGTATTATTACGTGATCAGTCTTCAGCGATTCTAGAGAAGAGGACATCGAATCAACCCACGTCGAGTGCGGATCGCACTGCCGCCAAAACATCGCCTTTGGGTTTGCATGCTGAATGAGCCTGGGCCTGCTTCATTCTCGCCATCGACAAGACAGGCGCTCTTGCAATAATTGGGCTGCGTGACAGAATCGCCAGCTGACCGACTTGGTCTCAAGGGGCCGCGAGACAACCCTGCTGCCTGCTCGTCGGTCTCATGGATCCCCAATGGTTTGGTCAGCCAGTAGTGTGTCGACAATGCCAACACGTCTATAACCCGCTTGTTCGCCAAGGCACAAGTTTGGCACGTGTTCGAACACAATGACTCGGTTTTCCGCGATGACCATGCATGCACTTCAACAATGCAAGGTCCGCGAACGCGGACGCGGGGACGCAAACAGACGGGGGCAGGCATGGTGGAGCACGCTGCATGCCGAGCACATTCAGACACTCGTCAAAATAGGTCATCTTCTCCAAGGATGTATGCAATTCAAACTCGCAGAGTCGAAGATCTATGTGATGCGAAAGAGAACGAGTTCGGGGTGACCATGTGAAGGGTGAGGAAAGTGCTAGCGATATACAATAGCCAAGGAGAACGTCGTGAGGGTGGTGAATGAGAAGGGGTTTGGCCTGGCTCTGAAGGAGTGAGGCGGCGCCGTGCTTTGCTGTGCTAAGCGTGAACCAAGCGCGCACCCAGAGAACCGCCGGGATGATTTTGTTTGAAGCTCTGCACACCCAACCCACATGCTCGAGCGACACTCAGAACGAGCGAGTCTCCCATTGCCAGGGCGACTGTTGTGCTGGATGTCGGCGCGGGCACTAGTGCGTCGGCTTCTGCTGAAGTGTTGATGGGGCTTGTATTCGCGTCGTAAGAGCCATTTGGACAACATGAGCAGTGGGCGGAATCGGACCGCGCACGAGCAGTGGTGGCATGGCTTCCAGTGGTTTGCGAAGGGGATTCCGAAGCTGCTGTCGAATTTGTACCGGCTTCGACCATTGGACTAGCAGTCCTGCAGTCCACCCAAGCGCCGCGTGTGATCTTCGCCGCCTTGGCGAGGCTGCTCTCGTCCTTGCTGGTAAAGGCAACGATGGGGCAGCCTCTAGCCTGAGCATGAGGCAACAGGTTCAATAGTTCGGCAGACTCTCCGGAATGCGAAAGCGCGCAGAGAACGTCTGGCACAGGGGCCGGCGGCGCCCTGTGCTCTGCCATTCTTGCCCTTAGGAGTGGCGGCCTGGGTGCTTGTGGCCAATGACCGCTCAAGGTTCCCAAATCTCCGTGTAGAGCAGAGATGGGGCAAAGCCAGGCAGAGGAAAGTCCAAGAGAAAGTGAAGATGCATGCAGCTTGCGCGCGATGATGCCTGTGGTGATGAGTGCAGCTCAGTGTGTCAGTGAATGCCCATTACGGCACTCGAAGGGCTCGTGTGCCAATAGCCGGCCACAGCTCCTACAACACTCACCACTCTTGCCCACTCCTGTCCAGACAATCTTGCCTCCTCCAGCAACGCAGTGCACGATTGTTTTGATGGCTTTTTTGAATTCGCTTGGTTGAGTCTGGAGCCTCGAGGCAGCTTCCATCAGAGCCTTTGCCTCCGCTAAGAGAACACTTTGTGCGTGCTGCGTCGCGGCAGGAAGATCTATGCCCAGCTCATCCTCCGAGTTCTCGCCCTCCAGATCTGAATTTGAGGCGGACGAGAGCGGAGAAGACTCGTCTGGGGAGTTTGGCGATTCGTGGGTGGCATTGGCTCCTGCGTGATCGACCACGGAAGCAGCGTGGTATCTCGAGCTTGCAGCTGCTCCAACTTGAGCGTCCGACTTTGCATGGTGAGCAGCAGCAGGCGCGCGATGTCCGTGATGTCGAGGAGGAGCCAGCGTAGCGTGCTTGTTGCCAACGCCAAAGCACGAGGCTGAGTAGGCACTGGGAGGGGCTGTCGAAGGAGGTGTGATCTGACCATCTAAGTGGTCATCGAACCGACATTCGGCATCATCGTTCTCAATCGTGTCGTCCATGCCAAGATCGCGGCCAAATCGAGTGTCGACGTCGAAGAGGTCCAGGTCGGAAGACTTGAACATAGGGCTCGACCAGCCTGACGATGAAGCCGATTCATGCCGCGTTGCGCTGCCATCGGTGGACACGAGCCCAAGCCGAGAGCTGCTCGGTACAGGATAAGCGGTCGCTGACAACATGTCTGGTTGATGTGCGTGTGTATCGTGGCGGTGAAGCTGGGCCATGTTCTGGCAGTGATACAATAGCTCAGACTCGAGAGCGAGCGTGTTGAAATTGAGGTGAGGGGGAAGGGATTTGCGGGGACGACCACGCTGGCCGAAGATTTATACATACATCAGATGCTGCGCACGGATGGGGGACCCCAGCGTAGAGAATGATTACGACTGATGTAAGCTGGATGGGGCGACGACCGATCAGCTGACACGGCTACCATGTCTGATCGAACTCGATGCAAACAGAGTCGAAGATGGCTGAGCCGTGGGATTACTATTCCGGCACACGATCGTGAATGGCAAAGGAGATTATTCATCAGATTCCTCGGCTGCTGCAGCCCCCTCGATGTTCCAGGCAGAGTGCAAGCTTCGAAATCCGCTTACGCTTAGGAAAGCTTGCGTCTGCTGCTGCTTATTCTGCGTGAGAGCGTGCGATTCGGCTTGGGAGCACAACAGGCAAGGCGCCTGGAGCAGCAAGCTCGCGAATTGAACTCTTCCAAGAGATCGAGAGATGAGGCTTGCAGCTGATGCTTTGTGCAGCGCTGAACTGAATCCGATGGAGCTGCTGCTGCATGCCCGAAGAGGCGTCGTCACGAGTCCTGGAACGGACCGGACCCCTTCGGCTTCCGCTTCAAGGGTCCACATGCAGTACACCGTGAGTGTGAGCAAGGCAGAGATGAGACGCGGAGCTAAGCTTTCTATATGCACAGATTGCATAATGCCGCGCGAAGGGTGATCGATCGAGGGCATAAAACTCCCGAGCGAGCGAGCGAGCGCGTGCTCAGCAGAAGCGCGCGCACGGGCTTCGGACCGTTGTTCAGCACACGCGGCCCCCAAGGCGTGCATGCGATGAACCCCTCCACTCACAATTAACTCTTTGTTGCCCCCCCACGATGAGACGCCACGGGTCACCACCATTCAAGATTCATGGCGTCTGGTTGTTCCATCATCAATCCTCACACTAGACGGCCGAGAAAGCATGCGGGCCCCGAGCACGTACGCCTCGAGTCCTTATCGGCTATGCGAGGCTCGGCGTTGCTCAAGACGAGTGCTGCGATCCAGCTTGATTGCTCAGCTCGATCTGCTGGCTTATCAGCGAGTCACGTCTCGCATTCACATTCAAGTTGGCGTGGAGTCACGACTCGTGACTTTGTTTGGCTGCTGCACGCGCTGGTCCCAATCAAATGCCTCGTCAGCGAGTCATAAAGTCGTCCATTTCCTCACTCGCGACTGTATTTTGAATGTAGACAATTCACGATTATGGATTCATTAGTATCCTGATCCTAATTCCTGCATGGTAAACGAGATTCGCGATTTGATCAGGTTGTTGCGCGCCGCTAAGGTCTTGTCAATCAAGAATCAGAATCAGAATCGAGGGCGCGACTCGCCGCGCGCTCATCGGTGGAACCAAAGCACCATGCAGAATCGTACCATTTCAGCCAAGACGCAGTCAGAGTACAGGCAATGGCGCCTTGGTGTGCACACGTTCGCACCTGTTCAGCAATAGACGACCGCGTGCTCAGCTCGGGCTAGTTGTCGGTTAGAGCAAGGAGGTGCACAAGGGGCTGATCACGACATTTGTGCATATAGACAGACATGTCTGGATGCAGCCAGTAGCAGCAAATGTTGAACGTTGACTTCTTCGCGGGCGGAGCTGTTCGCTCGCGGATAAGCCTCGCGAACGACGGCACGCCTGCATAGACGCGTGCTTACCGTAAAAATTCGCGACGCGTCGCCCGCGTTGATCGTCAGGCACGGACGTGGGGATCTGAAACCTGAGCACTGCGTAAATGAGCGGGATGCATATGCTCAGTCAAAGCTAGGAAATGTTCTCGACTTGAGTCCTTTCGCATTCAAGATTGCTCTTGCGACACGTGATCAAAAATTTCAGAAGTTCTAAAAAGGGCTGGCTTTCGACCAGCTTGCAACAACTGCTACTCAAGACTGCTACTACTACTCCTACCTCATAGACTTTTCCCATCAAAGTGCGCGTCACCTTCACACTTCCCGTGCATCACGATTAATCACGCTCGCATGGACGGTACATCTACTCACAAGCCTACTTAGCCATCTTGCAGAGCTCACAAGGTTGACCTGTCATCGCGACCCTACGCAATCCCAACGCACCTTCCTATGGTCTTTCACCTCCGTGCTGCGACAACAACTGCTCGCCGCCTCTTTTCTCCATTGCCTGCCATCGAAAGTCTCACACGCAGCCGCACTATCCTCAAGAATCACTTTGCCACGCTCCCGGTCATGTCCGGCACAGAAACAAGAGGCAGGGGCCGCAGAGGGCGCGGAGGAGGGGGCGCAGGAAACAGACAACCGAACGGACATCAGCGGTCCGCATCAAATGGCGCAGAGTTCAAGCTGGAGAGAGCGCACGACTTCTCCACACAAGCAGCGCCGCGCGCACCTTTGCCGGGCTCATCGATGGCCTCTCATCTCGCCACGTCTTCCTTCGCATCCCTCTCTGACCGCGTCGATGGGCGAATCCTCTCTTCCATCCCTTTCGAGAGCATGTCGGACGTGCAGAGCGCTTCTCTCGACCCTGCTCTCTCTGGAAAAGACGTTTTGGTGCAGGCAAAAACAGGCACGGGAAAGACTATCGCATATCTTCTGCCCAGCTTGCAGAGACTTTTGAGCGGGCCACCAAGCAACGGGCAACACGTCAGGTTGTTAGTGCTCAGTCCTACCAGAGAATTGGCGCTGCAGATTCAGGTCAGTGGTGTCGCGTGCGGACTGGCCCCAGACATTGCAGAACCCAAGCTGACAGACATGCGGTGCTCTGGCAGAGAGAGGCAGAAATGCTGCTACAGGGCTTACGAGGAGTGCTGGGCTCGCAATGCGTCATCGGAGGCTCGAATGTGAGTACAGCGTCCAAGTCGCAGCTTAGAGGCACGATTGTGGGCTAGCTGACATCCTCGACCGGCTTCGATGGAAGATCAATACCGAGCGCCAGCTGCTACAGCGTCAACGCAAGGACATTTTGATAGCGACACCAGGAAGAGTGAGTTGCTGCAGTGAACGTGCTGGTCCTACATCATCGTCGTAAGCTGACATCATGTTTCGAACTGTCGACGCAGTTGATGGATCATCTGCAAACATCCAATTTGGCATCTTCCGTCTCCAGGCTGCAGATTCTCGTGGCAGACGAAGCTGATCGCATGTTCGACATGGGCTTCCGACCAGTGCTGGAACAGATCCAAACCTTCTTGCCCACCAGGTCCCAGGGCAGGCAAACGCTACTCTTCAGTGCCACGGTCCCCAAGGGCCTGAAAGAGACAGCCAGATTAGCTCAAGATGCCGCATTTGTCAATTGCCTCAGCGAAGAAGAGGCCAACGTGCACAAGCACATCAAGCAGCGTGAGTGCGCGCTGTTTTTAGAGATCGAAGCTCAGCGCGAATCTGACATCAGGTGCGCTCCGTCGCTCTTAGAGTACGTCCTTGCACCTTTGGCAGACCAGCTGGCCATGGCTTTGCACTACGTACTGCAAGATATCAAAATCAACGGACCGGAAAGCAAGCCAATTCTCTTTTTCCAAACCGCCCGCTCCGCTTCCTTGGCCCACGATGTCTTCGAGACTCGGCCTTACAAGGAGGCTATCGCGCAAGCAGGAGGCAAAAACTTCGAGGTCTGCGCTATTCACAGCAGAATGTCACAAGGCGCTCGCGTCAGAAACACCAACAATTTTGCCGCTGGCAAAAGCGGGGTGCTGCTCAGCTCCGACGTTGCTGCTAGAGGCGTGGACTTCCCCGGCGTAAGCTTGTGAGTGTTTGTTCTGGATTCTGGAAGGAGATGCTAGACCTTACAGACTGACTGACAATGGTATCATGCCTTTGAGCGCACGCACGGCAGGGTGCTTCAATTGGGTGCGCCCAGCGAAGTGGACCAATACATCCACAGAGTAGGCAGGACCGGCAGAGCAGGCGCCGGAGGAAGCGGAATGCTGGTGCTCAATGACTTTGAGGGAAAGTTTGTACAGAAGGCAGCTTTCAAGGAGTTGCCCGTCACAAAGATCGACAGAGATGCTGCATTCGAAGATGCGCTCGGCTATGCAAGACAGGTCTATAATGCTGCTATCGGCCAGGTTGGGGACGACGAAAAGGCCGCGACGTACAGAGCTGTAAGTTCTTATCCGGTGACATGATCGCGCAAAGATCAAGACGCTGACCAGGCTCGCCCGTTTGCTTTTCGTTCTGTCAGCTCATGGGCTATCTCAACGGAGAAAAGAAGTGGATTGGATGGGACTCCAAGGAATTGGTTGTTCGCATGAACGAATACGCCATCCAAGGCTTGAGATTTGCCGAGGGCAGTGGAAGCCTGCCGGGCATCACTCCTAAAGCTGTGGGCATGATGAGCCTGAAGGTGAGTGACGTCGTCTGGGCTCGTGCTGTTCTCGCGTCCACAATCTAAAATTGCTCGACGCTGCATTACCTGCCCGGCTACGCGTCACCCACAGCCATTCTCTCATATGCTCAACATCCAGAGGGACGACAAGCAGCAACAAGGAGGAGGAGCGGGAGGCAGCCGTGGTGGGGGTGCTGGACGTGGGGGTAGAGGAGGAGCGCATGGAGGCTCCGGACGAAATCAGGGCGCCAATGGGCTTCCGAGCAGCGATTCCAATTCAGGACGCGGCTCGGGCGCTCAGCGAGGAATCGGTGGAGGAGGGCCACGCAGAGGAGGCGGTGGTGGCCGAGGACGCGGTCCCAAGCCGTACTGAACATTGGCATCTGCTGGGCCGCCTAGAGCTGTTCGGATCGAAGTTAGACAAAGCGACTGCAACCAAAATCATCGAGCGCACAGGCACAAGGACGTGATTATAGACAAGCGCATAGTACATTTACAGAAACGTGTTCACTTGCTTTGACGGCCAGTCACTACTTGACGTCAAGTGCATCACAATTCGAGATTCATTCAAATGGCAAGCGTGGATTAGGGTGTGGAGTGATAGGTAGGGTCCGTATTCAGGTGCGTGGCGTCTTGGATGCGATGCGCTAGCATCAAGCAGGGACTTCTTCTAGCTGTTGTAAATGTTTCCGAGCTGGGTCCTGCTTCCGTCTGGGTTGAGGAGGTCCTTGGGGTCCGCACCGTTGGGGTTGTAGCGAGTCAGAGTAGCATACCTCTCGACGTTGCCGTTGCCCTCGAGGTAGCCAATGACGGCGTTGAAAAAGTCAGGACCGGCTTGGTTGGCATTCTGGTCCTGGCCGAACTCGTCGATCCAGACTGGGTGGTACTTGGAGGTGAAGCCGTCGACTTGTTGACGGATGATGCCGTCGTTGGGACCGTAAGGGTGGAAGCTGTGGGAAGGCAAGGCGAGCCGAAAGGTGAGTGCGGATGATTGCAAGCGAGATGGGGAAACCCGATGATGGTCTTTTGACTCACCCGTAAGCGTCGAAGGTGCAGCCCTGGCAAGCAGCGACGAAGGCGTCGAGCCATGCTTCACCGAGGTTGTCTCCCTGAGCAGCGGAGACCGAGGGTGCGACGAGCTTCTTGCCTTGGTTTTTCAAGGGCTGGATGTACTGTTGCCAGAGACGTGCAGCATCCTGAGGAGAGATGGCAGATCCACCGACGGATTCGGGCTGGTCAGGCTCGTTGAAGCCCATGACGTAAGAGCCCTGGTTGGCGCAGCGAGAGGCGAGCTGGGTGATGGGAGAAGAGTCTTGAGCTCCGGTTCCTCGCTTGCCTTGCATGCAGATGAACTCCTTGCCAGCAAAGCTAGAGCCATCGGGGGGAGGCAGGTAGGTCTCGTAGTCGTACAGCCAAGCGACGGCTCCGCCAAACGCGGTGCTGGGCGCCACATTGGAGAAGTAGGGCCAGGCGACTCCTCGCTTGGCGCTGGCATCGACGACAGCGGGAGCGGATGCGGCCAGAACGGCGGCGGAGACGAGAGCGACAGTGCTGGTCTTAGAGAACATGATGGGCAAGGATTTTTGGCGGGGATGAAATGGAAGGTCAGAAAAGTGTGTGATTGCTGGGACAGCAGAATGTCATAGCGATGGAGAGGCTCACTATTTGTACTTTGCATCCTCGAGCGCATGCTCCTGCTGCTATTCAGGCGAATTGTGACCACGTACCCGTCGTGCCGAGATTGCTGAGTCCGCTTCAAGACACATGCCAATCACACATGTGGAGTCAGCTAGAGCGCTGAACCGGGTTCAGCTGGTGCAGACAAGTGATTCTGCGTGTCACAGCAGTCACGACTGCTGCCCTTCGCAATCGCTCAGCTGGGCCAGCCCCAAGTATTTGGTCAAGACTAGCTGTGCATTGCTGGGGCTGATGCATGGCGCTCGGGCAGTGGTGAGTCAAGAGCTGACGAAGACAAACAAGAGCGTGAGTGTTGGGTTGCATACCACATCTCACCTACGCTGCTGCTGGCTGCCGTGGCTGACTTGGGCGTCAGATGAGTACACTAGCCTACACCTGCCGAAGATGCTCTGGGCTACCGACGTGGTTTTTGCATGGACCTCCATACTCATCGAGCGCACTTACGCTCTATGATACGTTAATGGTCGGCTGCTTAGATGCGAAGTGGTATGCCGAAATGCTGCTAGGACGGTTTGACCGAAGGCGGGCGGCTTAGAGAAATGATTGGGTTTTCGCGTCATTCGCAGCCTCAGCTTTGATGCATCGGCCAGCGATTGCGTATGGAACGTGATTGCAGGGAGCATGCAGCAGGACTCTCGCTGCATGGCGTCATGGCGTCCGCGGAGCCGGGCAAAGCTGAAGTATATGAGAGCAAGCCACGACTCATGATCGACTGCTTCGTTTCACCTCCAATTTGTTTATGCATCTTCTCAGCCCAGAGGAAGGTTTGATCGAAGCCAGCAAATAAGTTATCATGATCATCAATATGGAAGTGGAGTAGTCGCGGGTCGAACTCACCCTTCAAGCAGTGTGACTGCTCAAGTACTTACTACAGGCTAAGTGTCCGACTCGGCAAGGCTGCCGAAAGGCGTAGGTCGACCCGCTGTGTTATGCAGGTACCGCCAAAGCACATCCGGCGAAGCTCAAACGCGCCCACGCATCACACAGCCGCACCAAAACTCACAACATGTGCCTTGCGGAAAGAAGCTCAAGTCCCTCGAATAACTCACATGCACGATTGCTGGCTGCCATCAACGAAGCTTCAAGCAGCTACAACTGTCACGGTGCGAAGCTGCGATGGTCAGCATCGTGCTTAGGCCACACACTGAAGAGGTTAAGCTCGAGGGAGAAGTTTGAGCACATCGGCTTGTTCGCCGCGGCTCCGCTTCACAACAGCAGTGGCGGGCAAAGCTGGAGCAGGATCCGGCGGTTCGCTGCATGCAGCAACGGCGCGGGTGCAGCGCCCACGGGATACAGTATGCGGTGAAGCCTCTGCAGAGTCGCGCTGCATGATAACCCTTGTTCGGAGTCGTATATGCATGCCGAAAGAGTCAGACGCCTAATGTTGCGCCCACGCTAAAATCTTGAACGCCCTCGATGATGATCGAGCGAATCGTGAATCTTGAATCTAATTCTCTGTTCACATACCTCATTGACGCATCAAGCACAAAAGCTGCTAATGCGCGGGTCAAGATCTTCGATCTCGGTTCAGGTGCACGTCCAGGCTCAGATTCATCAATTCGAGACTCGCCTTGCTGAGTTGGCTCAGATCCACGCAGTGGAGGTGCACGTGCTGCTCAAGGGCTCAAGCACGTTGTTCGAGACGTGAGGAGCTCGTGATGATGATGTTATTACATGTTGCTGCCGGCTCGCCCACGAGTCGTGATTGTTGCAGGTCTTTGCGTAGCCAGAGCCGATGGTCACTATGTATAGTAGTACTCGTGTGGTCAAGCATCTAGACGAGCTGAAGCCATGGAGCGAAGCGCTCTTGGCGGCATCGACGCTGGCCGATTGTTGCTCATCACATGTCTCCGTCTGATTCACGAGCGCACGAGGTCGTATGGAACATTTCCGCCGGGGTGTGCTCAGTGATGACGCTTGGATAAGGCTCAGTGACAGTGACGATGCGCTCAGTCGACGTTGTCGGCGATGCCTTCCAAAGACTCACCGCGTGGCATGGCCCAAATCGTTGAGGCATTCGAATCGTAAGCCTGCCCATCAGCGCTTCGTGCTCCAGATTCACGCCTAAGCAGTCTTTGTTTGCGTGAGGGGGTGTGCTGTATTGCATTGCGAGCAAAGGTGATGAATTGCATTCTGCTCCCCTCGCTACCGTTCATTTTCACTCTGCTCAACCTGTGCCTGCATAGCCTCATGAAGCTGCAATGCGTAGAGTGCCGCCAGCTGATCCAAGATTGTGCTTGGGCCCGTCAGCGCCTACCTGCGTGGTCATACGTAGCGGGGTACATCGACTCACCTTGATGCCTCCTCTCACCCTAGACAGATCAGGTGCGCCCCAAGCTTCCTCCAGCAGCTCTCGAGATTCATCCGCTGCAGCGCCTGCGACCTTGTTCCTAGCAGGTGCAAGAGCCGCACCAGCTGCAGCGTCCCTTCCGCTCGCTCCCACTTCACTTCCCGGCGGGTCCGATAGGAGCCTTGCTGACCATATCACAGGCTTCTTTGGATCTGCTTCCGAGGGCGAGGCAATGACGCAAAGGCGGAGGTGGGGTGGGAGCGCAATCTCTTCGTGCAAGTTCGGGTCCAGCAGATGGAGGCCACGAGGGAGCTGTGTCAGCGGGCAAGGGTTGGAAAATAGGGTATCAGCACCATTTAGCTTCGACGAGCTCTTTGCAGCACCATTCGGTTGAGGAAGCTGCTGATGTGTCAATTCGTGATCACTCACCAGTGCCAGGGTCACGGCCACGCCCATATGAGGTGCTCCCGCCAGGATCATGTCCGTTCCTTCTACAAGCTCAAAATCCTTTGCACCAGAGGGTCCGCCCGTGCCCTTGTCCGCCCCGCTCACGAAACCTTTGAGTCCAGAGAGGCCAGCTTTGCCCAAGCCTTCACCTTCTCGAGCTTGATCCGCCAAGCTTCTCGCAAGGTTTTGACGTTCACCACTACTTGGCACGCCCTTGCCTGCGACCCGGCTTGACCCTGCGCCTATTCGCCTAGTCTGTGGCAATCTGACGTCATTGACTGCTGCCCATGCTGCGGCCAGCAGGCAGTCCAATGCGTTCCCGCCATCCGCAGATAGCAACCGCGCGTCCAGGGTCAGGTACCACTGAGGCCCTAGGCCGGGTGTGGTGAGATACGGCGCAGCCGGCAGTGCGGAGGCTAGAAGCGTCTCAAAGGTGGAAGCCAGCTGAGGGTAGATTGTTGCGACGCTGGAAGATCTGCGTGCAATCCCATCAATGTTAGGTTCCGCGTTGCGCGTTTCAGTAACTTTCTCGCTAAAGTGACCACTCACATATCGCAGGCGACCTCCCACCCACCTTCGCCCTCTTCCCTGACCTCTGCTCCGATGACCACAGAAGCTCTTGTGCCATCTCTTGCCACTTCAGCACTACCAGCAGCGTTGGGGTTGAGACCACAGCTGATTTCTAAAGGTCGTGCCGAGTCCAGAGGTCGAGCATTGGGTCTGGAAGAGGAAGGGCCAGATTGCGCAGATGAGACGAGCGATGCGAGCAGCAGAGATTGCTCTGAGCGCGAGGTGGCCATGATGCTCGATGCGAATGCGATGCAGCCGTGCGCGTCAGCCTGTGATGGTCGAGGTGGTGTCGATTCCTCAACTTTCAACTTTGACACTTTCGTGCCGCTTCGGCCCTGTAGACCCTTTGAATGCGGCGCACCCGGCAAGGAAGGTGGGCTTGCTGCTGTTGTATTGCTGTAACCTACAGGCTGACAGTTTATGACAGCTTTGTCTCGATGATTAGCGTAGGAAGTGGGTCTCGCTGGTGAAGCGTGAGTCTTGAGTGCGTGCTGTAGTCAAGAGTTCAAGATCCTGGATTGAGGATTCGAATGAGTCGAGAGTCGTGAGTGCAGAGCCTGCATGCTTTCTTGGTATTTATTCGTGCTCCGTTTTTTCTTCGCAGAGCGTGGAGGCCCGCGCGCGCGGACATGCATCACCAAGCGGCAGCATGCAGCAGAACTTAAGCTGGTCACGCCTGCTGTCCGCCGTGGACCAACCAACCTCAGCCCACGCATGCTGCAGTGATCGTGAGTCTCCTCTTTCAGTCCATCATCGCTGCTCGTTGCCCTCAGCTTCCGCGCATGAGCCGATAGCTGCTCGAACAGTCAAATGGACTGCCCTACTCTCTAGCAAGAGCCTTCGCTGGGCCTCTTCCAAGAATGGTCGCTGAGCCAGAGGCGGGCGTCTCGGGGTCCACCCCAACTCCGGCTCCGACCACTGCAGCAGCCGCAGGCAGAGCTCCCGTTGCGACGTCTGCCATCAAGCAAGAACGCGACAGAAGGCGACATCAGCTGCGTGCGGTGAATGCTTCGCTATGGGGAGCGCCAGGCCGTCAAGAGGCTCCAAACCTGGACTCCAACTTGAAGAAGAACACCGCCTTCATCAAGCGACTCAGAGCTCCTGGACTGGTAGCTGATGCGAAGGATGGACTGCTTAAAGACCTCACCAGCCTCAAGGTGGAGAAGTACGTCGAAGAGATCGTGCAGGCTATTCCAGAGGGGCTGAGTAGAAGCAGCAAGGAGAAGGATGTGGCTGCGGCTAGCGAGGTGAGTTGTATTCCAGCAGGATACGCATCAGGTAGGGTAGCTGCGCTGACAGCTTTGAGCGCACTGGGCAGATCGTGTCAGCTCTTCACACTCGCTTCGCCCCAGATGCTTTCGCGCTGCCCCTATCAGCATTACTTGCTTCACAGCTTGCTCTCCCGAACAAGACGGCTTTAGCCGCTCAGCTACCCGATGCGCGAGAGCGCGAGGAGAGCTCTCGTCTTGCGCGTCAAAAGGTCCTTCTGCGCGCCGCCGCCGAGCTGTCGCTGGTGCAAGTCTTGCGAGGTAGCTCGAGCACGGATGCAAGCGACGCTGGGATGGCTTGGCTGTTTGGTATTGTCAAAGAGCTAGTGCGTGCATGAGCGGGACTGGATAGAGAGCGCCGGCTGGCTCTCACACCCCTGCATCCTCAGCTCTCCACAGACAGAGAGCATGCCAATGTGCCGCTCGCCATCTCGCTCCTGAAGGGAATAGGATCGACCTTGGTTGGAATGGCCGCATCGAGCAGCTCTGGCACAGTCCCAGGTACAGCAGAGCCTTTCGCAGCATCAGGCGGTACAGACGCGGAATCGAGCGCAGAGACGGAGACGCAGCTGCTAAGCTCGGAGTGGCGAGAGCGCTTCCGCAAGTTGTTCGAAACCTATTTTGCCACGCTTGTCAAGCACATAGCCAAGGATCACGGCGTAAGCGTTGCTGCACTCCGGATTTGCAGACGTTCTCCGCTGACGCTTCACGCACGCTCATGTTCTTGCAGCGCTTGCAAGAGCAAGACAAACGCAATCATGAGGCGTACATTCGGTCCGGAGAGATCTTCGAGGATCGGCAACAGAGCTACGAGCGCATGACCAAGTCATTCGAGAAGCTCTATGAGCTGGGCAAGAGGTTCGTCATTATCTGTGTAGTCGATACTGCTTTCCAAACTCGCACACTGACTGCGGCCTCACTGTACCTTTTCGCAGTCTGTCTGACTTGCTGGATGTTCCAATTCCTGCATTATCAGACTCTTCCACTGGTACAGGCATCGGGTTAGCCATCAACATCGATGCTCGCACAGCGCTCGGAGATCAAAGCGAGGACACAGATGCCACTGGAAAGAGCCCGTGGGAAGACGAAGACTCTCGTCGTTTCTACGAAGAAACGATTGATCTACTCGAGATGGTGCCCGTGAGCTTGTTAGGAAAGCCTGCTGGTAGGACTTCGCAGTGGACCGACGCCACAGAAGACAAGGCTGAGGGTCAGGGTCACGACAAGGCCGTCGCAGAAATCAAAGAAGACAAGGCAGCTGGCGCGGGCGAAGACCCTGCTATGTCCAAGCAGCGCAGCCCGGCAACCAGCCCAGTTGTAGAAGCGTCAGATGCAGCGGCCTCGCCTGTGCTCAGCTCATCAGCTCTATCGGATGCAATAGCCCCCATCGAAACTGATAATGCGGACCGGCCAATCAATTCCAAGGATCAACAAGCGCCCGAAGAAGCACTCTCCTCTGGACCTGCTGCCCAGCTCGCGGCCATCTTGGCCAGGTTGCCAGAGATGACTAATAGAACGATGATCGATTCGGCCGCGGTCGAGTTTGCATTCGTCAATTCGAAGGGAGCCAGGAAGCGACTTATCAAGCAGCTCTGCACCATACCGAAGAATCGACACGACCTCATTCCTTACTACTCCAGGCTCATCGCTACACTCAATCCATATATGTCGGATGTAGCAGAGGGTGTTCTTGCGGTGGTGAGTTGCTGCGTCGGGCATCAGCTTAATATCGCATCCCAACCTCACGATCGATTTCCGTGACAGCTCAATGATGAATTTAGATACTGCCAGAAGAAACGCAGCGTCGATCTGCGAGACTTGCGAGCCAAGGTCAGTATTCCTGCGCCGTAAGCCACCGGTCAGACTTTTCGGCAACGTTTCTTCAGGCTCACTGCTTCTACCCAATTCGCAGAACATGACCTACATTGGGGAACTCACCAAGTTCAAGATCGCACCCATCCACACTATCTTTTATTGCCTCCGAGTCTGTCTTGAGGACTTTTCGGGGTACAACATTCAAAACATCGCCACCTTTCTGGAGACTTGCGGCCGCTTTCTACTGCGCACACCTCAGACTTCACAAAGAATGCAAGGCATGATGGAGCTTTTGCGGCGCAAGCGTGCTGCCACAAATCTCAACCACCAGCAGGTCATGCTCCTGGATAACGCATACTTTCAAAGCAACCCACCAGACAGGAGTGCTGTCGTGCAAAAGGAGCGCGCGCCCATGGAGCTCTTCGTACGACACCTCATATACGACGTGCTCACCAAAAAGACCCTAGACAAGGTATTGAAGCTTCTGCGAAAGCTGCACTGGGAGAATGCGCAAGTCGTTCAGTGGATCCACGAGTGCTTCACTCGCGCTTGGCGCATCAAGTATTCGAACCTCCACCTGCTAGCCATACTGGTGCACGATCTTCAGCCCTACCATCCCGACTTTGCCGTTCATGTCGTGGACACGGTCTGTGAGCAGCTTCGTGCAGGAATGGAGACGAACATCTTCAAGCTCAATCAGCGCCGAGTCACCACCATCGCCTATCTGGGAGAGATGTACAACTATCGACTCGTCAGCTCCGACCTCATTTTCGACCACCTTTGGTCCATGACAACTTTTGGACATCCCGGCGGACATGCGCTCCCAGGACAGGTGTGCCGCATCGATGCCCCCGACGACTACTTCCGCATCCGCCTGATATGCGCACTTCTTGATACATGCGGTCACTGCTTCGATCGAGGCAGCCTCAAACGACGATTGGACGATTTCCTGGTATATTTCAACATATACGTTCTCAGCAAAGAGAGACCTCTACCGATGGACATCGACTTCATGCTTCAGGACACTCTGGAAGTTCTTCGACCAACATTTGCGCTCAAGACATCGTACGAGGAAGCTGTGCAGGCCGCCGATCAAATGTTTGCCGCACAGCAGCGCAATGCGCCAGCTCAAGCTCCGGATCAAAGTGTGGTAGATGCGACAACGCCGCAAGCTGGCGAAGCTGCCTTGCAGGCAGAAGCCGAAGAGATCGAAAGCTCAGATGATGAGGTCGACACCGCAAGTCCTCACTCTACCGCTGCTCGGCTCCACGACGAATCCGGGTCCGAGCATTCTTTAGCACATGCTGATGCAGACGAAACAATCGACGCGATCAAAGATGGTGCAACTGGTGAGGAAGAAGATGACGTTGGTCGAGGAGACTCTACCGAGGCGACGGCGGAGCAAGAGGCCGAAGAAGAGTTGGAAAGAGAGCTTGCAAAGATGATGGCGGAAGGCCCAGGTCTGTCAGCTACAGGCGCTCCGCGATCTGCACAACGAAACATGCTAGACGATTCCCTTCCCTTCCTCCGTCGTCCTCAGCAGCATACTGGCGGCTCGGGCAAGTCTGAGCAAGAGCAAGTGTCCGGTGGAGGCTTAGATGCAACGAACGGTACCCTCATGCGATTCTCACTCTTGTCTCGAAAGGGCAACAAGCAGCAGGTAGGCGTCGGCAGAGCATCGATTTGTCTCCGAGTTGCGCTGATGCCCGCATTGCCCACCTTACGTCAATTCTAGACTCGCAACCTCGACGTGCCTGCAGACTCTGCAATCGCCATCGCGACCCGAGCCAAGCAGCTTCAGGAGCAAGCAGAGAGGCAGCACCTCAAGCATCTGGTCTTGCGTTACGAAGTAATGCAGGATGCAGCGGAGAGAAAGGGTACGTGCATGACGTCTTGGCTACGCTCCCTTCCGCGATGGCTCACTAGTACCGTCATCGCTCTCATTGTTCGACAGCTCTTGCCGATGAGATGGGCAATCGTGGCATCAAGCTGACCTACGTGGACAAGGGATGACGCAGATTCAAGTCAGCTTTTCATCTTCTACCTTACTTCTCTTGGCCTGCCGAGAGCCGGACCGACTTGGTTCCCGTCGTGCTTGGCGCCTTCACACTTGGGTTGCAGCCCCTAATTGGTGGCACAGCGGGGCCGTCCCTGTAGTAGCCTCATGCCTATGCTGAGCAGTTTGCGACTGCTGCGCTTCATTCGACAGAGCTACGGCCCACCTCGCCACCTCACGCGCCCTGATGCTCAGCGGTCAAAGCAAGCAGTCATCATGTACCTCAGCAACACTCACACGGGCGGCAACAGCTCATAGCTAGCACTACAAAACCCAATTTCAATTTGTGACATTAAGAAGCAACGGACGCCAGAGTGCGGACGGCGGGTCTGTCAGCCGACCCCCTTGAGTTGACGACGACAGGGCTTTCGTTGGGCTGCGAAACGAAGGGCCGCCTCGATGACACATGTCATCCACAAGCCGACATCACCACGTGAATATTTAAGAATGCGGGCTTGAGCCAAGACTGTCTGGAGCGTCGAAAAAGAACGCAAGCTGGAGTCGTTGCGTGAGAAATGTTGGATTGGGAGGGACATCTCGGGGATACCCTCAGATACATCGCGCGCGCTGCGCGCCACGAGCCGCTCCATTCAGAAGCGGCGATAGCGCACTCCACCATTCAAGCCAAGCTGCCGTGACCCGGCGTCCAAGTCTCGCAAATTTGGAGTCTTGGCACCTTTGTCTGTTGACTCTGGACATCACTGCTCATCGCAGTCTCCTGTCTGCCCTTCGCAATGGTCACAGAGCGGAGTACAGCGGAGAAGCGTAGAGCATCCATTCAGTCTACTCGAATGGTACACGCATACCGTGCTCGTCGAACTTCCTGGATTGGCTCGTGCATGAAGACAGCCTCATCGAAGCTGACCAGCATAGCAGACCTCTCCAACGATATTCAGCGGGGCCTGGAAGGACGGTGCGCACGGCTTGCCGAATGATGTCTCGCTCATTGGGAGCGCCTGCGATGGTGCTTCAACGCTTTCCTAAGTTGGAAATATTTCGTCAACTCAAACCGGTGCCATTCAAATTCCAGACGTGAGTCTGTTTGAGAAGCCGTTGAGCAGGACACGGCGCTGGCACGAAGAGGCTCGCGCTAGGGTCGCGCGTCTCATACCTCTCTTGCGCTCACTCCCCAGGTCGACTAGCCTTTGAGTAGTCGGGCGTGGGGTGGTCAAAAGCGCGCTGTGCGCACCGGCTCGCAAGCCTGCAGCAGCGCTCGCAACAGACAATTGATCGGTGTTGAGCCCAGCCCAGCTCATGACCCTTGTCACGCACCATTTTTGATTGGAAGTCGATGTACATATCGTGCCAACGGATTCTCCCGCTGCTCGTGACTGACGCCCACGGCTTGCATTTCTCGCGCGCCTCGCTGAGCAGAGCGCGGGTCGCAAGTCACGAGCAGAAGGGCAGGTTGGTGAGTCGCTTTCAAGGAATTGTGTTTAGCAGTCACGAATATGCTGCCTGCCTTCCTTGCGAGGTGCATTGGTGCACGTTGGGGCCCGCTGGAGCGCTACGTGCAGGCGCGCACGCGCTGGACGACCCCAATCCAAGGGCGCGAGTTGACGCGCAAGTACGAGCCATAGTCGCAAGTTTGTGTGCGAGTGAAAAGTTATAAGAGCACCGATTTGTCACAAGTCCTTCACTGTCCCCTCCATCATCGTTCTCCCTGCCACTCTCCTTTCCACACCAAATCCTAACTTCCACGTTCGCTTTCGCTCTCGCTTCGCTCTCACTCTCATCCCATCTCCAACTCTCACTACCACTCCACCCTTCCGAAAAAGCCGCGTCCGACAACCCAATCAACCCACCACTCCGATCGCATTTAGCGCCTCCAAAGGCACGGCACGTTCCTTCTATCCTCTTCACTACAAGCATGTCGGTGAGTACTAGTCACGAGGTTTCATGGTCAGCCGAGACGACAGCCAGCCATAGTCCGGGGTCGGGGAAGATGAAGGCATGCCGCTCGTCATCGTGATCGCACCAAATATTGAACAGACCAGCCGCGGACGAGGACCTCTGTGACCCTGTCCGAACTTGGGCTATGCGTTGTTGCTGGCATCGCGGCTGTTGTGGTCTGGCTGGGCAAGGGCTAGTCGTGGGCTCAGCGTGATAGCGCGGCACGTAGTTCGGCCTTCCAGTACTGGTGTAGATCCCTTCCTGCACTGGTTTTGGATCACTGTCGGCCCAATCTTGTAGCGGGAGGACCCTTAGTGGTCTGAACCTCTCGATCGACGGTGACGGGCACAATAGATACTTCCGCGTCAACGTCAGATCCCGAGTAGCGAGTAGCATGGGTTACCCTCTCGGCCTGGCGGCGACTGAAGCCGCCTAGCATCTTCGTTCAGTTCAGCACAATTCTGCCAAGGTCGTTGGATGATCCGATGTTGGTCAGCAAATTCGCTGACCCCCTCAACGCTTCTCATTCTCGCATTCTTCATCACCTTCGGTAATCCCTACTCTTAACTTGCCTTTCGCTCATTGCTCCTGACGACACCACTTCTCATATGTCTCGGATACTCTTACTCGGTTGCCACCTCAACTCCACGTCTGGCTCTCTTCACTTTTTCAAATACTTCCCTTTTCGTATCCCTCCCTCCCGTCTCTGGTCATCGCGTTGTGGGTTGCTTGCAACTTCATTGGCAACCATGGTCCCATCGTACAGCAGGAGGTCAATGAGGTGAGTACCCACCGACCCCCTCATTCGACGCACCTCCGCAACCTGCTGACCAAGTGGACCCTCTTTTCGCGTCAGGCTGGCACGTCCAGCGCTCTCGTGCTCCACTCTGCTAAAGAGACGGCGGCTGAGGACTCGGCTCGCAATCAAGAGCAGATTTTGCCCGGAGACCAACCCATCGTGAGTCCGAGCCTAATAGGGTCCAACGACTCTGCTTTGCTCTTTGCTGACCCCAATCTTCCTTCCTTCCTTCCCTTTCTCATGTATCGGTCACTCTATCGTCTGATATCTGCTCATCTTGGTCAACGTCCTCTTCTGGTTGTCGTCGTCACCATCGCTTCCACGTCCCCGTCAACGCTGGATCCTTATCGCCATGGCTACCTCGTCGCCACCTCATGCTGCCCTTAACGCCGTCGAACCTTTGCCTTCTCTTCTCTGGACTCACGCTGACTATTGATCGGTGCCGGTGCTCCAAATGCGGTCGGCGCCACATCTTTCGCTTTCAATCGACCACGCCTCTGCCTGGTTCTGACATCGCCATCGCCCGGCCCGTCGCGCCGACGGTTTCCGCGTATGCCACATCGTGGACATGGCTCGTCTAGATCGGCGGACGCAAGCCTATCACTCAAGTAAGCACCTTCGTTGAGCCTCATACATTTGACGTCAGGGGACTCAACTTTTGTACCTGATTTCTCCAGGCTGAGCGGGACCTCGCAAAGCATGTGGCTGCGTTGGCCAAGAGCGATCCGAAATACGCCGCTTTCCTGCGAACTCTCTTGCCGGTACGTGTAGGCCCTTGCCACTCAGACAGAGTGCCAATCAGCGCTGACCATGTTACGACTCACCGAAGCAGGGTACGGCATCCTTTTGGACTTTCTACTCCGTGAGTCGCAATGCTTCTTGCCTCCATGCTTGAAATCTGGCCACAATCCCTTACCATGCTTGCTTGTCGCGCAGATGATGTCCAAGCCGAAAGAGACAGGCGGCCTTCGCAGCTTTGCAAAGCTTCCTCGTCGTGCTCTCAACGGAGCTATTGCCGCTCTCGGCCAAGGATACACCCGCATTTATCGCTCCCTGGGCAAATTGGAGCAGCACTACGAGGTGAGCTTGATTCAACGATCTCAGGACTACCTCAACGTGCCAGTTGCTGACAAGTAGCCCCTGATCATGCAGGACGTGACCAAGATGATTCGCGAACTTCCGGACGTCGCGTTCGCGATAGAAATGAGGAACATGGGCCAAGCTCTGGCCACGACGGCGGAGCAGCACAACAATATGTCGGAAGCGTTCTCTGAGCGCTGTCAACGCCTGGCTCGCAGGGTTGAACTCGTGGCTCAGGAGCAGCTCGACCTCCACGAGCTTGCTTCTGCTCGTCAGAAGCTTCAGGACATCGTCGACAATGTAGGCGACGAAGACGTCCTCATCGCCGCCGCTCAACGTGTCAAGGCGATACGAGGTCGCTATGAAGCAAATGTCGCGAGGCTTTACTTCACAGACCTCGTGGCACTTCTGCCTGCTCCGGCGACCCCCGACGTTGCGAGTGAAAGTAGCAAGGACAAGTCTGCTGCCGCCGTCGGCGGGCCTGCCTCGGATGGAAGCGCGAGCTTGGCTGGCGATAGCGACGGTGAGCACGGTTGTGATTCAGAGCGTGGGGGCCCCCGAGACTTACAACTCGTGCGCCGTTCTGCAGACTCGTCCGAACCTGCTTCGAAGCGCCGCGCTTGAGTGCACTGCACCAAGATCGAAACTTGGGTCTTTTCCTGCTACCCTCGTAACTCGCATGGGGATCCTGCTCGCCCATCCTGGGGAGACCGTAGAGAGATGTGCCCACATTTGCCCACTTTGCCCTCGTAGCCGTAGGAGGCTCACCACAGCTGCCATAGCTTCACATTAGATTTTATTGCAATATGTATCTGGCGCCTCGCCACTCTACCCAATACACCGTTTCACCGCCTGACAGAGCGGCTATCACACACGTGAATCACGCAGATGATGGCGTTCCGTTCACAATCTGCATGCCTTACAACAATTACATACACTAGACTTGTTTGCGAGACCGACAGACTCCGAAAGCGGACTATAAACCTAGAGCTGACTTGGGTGTCCTTCTAAGGCGAGATATAATGACATCTGTCTTGTTTCAAAAGGACATGGCCTTAAATGGTTCAAGTACTTTTGTTTGTCGAGCTGTTCGCGTCTGAAGCGAATGGATGACACAGACGAATGAGGCTGGTGGGAGCGCGCGTGCGCCCCCGGCGCCACTCCAACAGAGTGTGGGTCAAGTGATGGCCGGAAGCATGGCGCTGGTCTTGAAGCTCAATGCTCAAAATAAATCACGAATGAGTCGCAATAGATGAGTCAAGTGGTATAACGACGAGCGAGATCACGTCAATAGCAACCAGCGAACAATTCAGGCTCGTGAGTCTTCATTCACTCGATCGTGAAGCAATGAGAATTGTGAACGCGAATGTACTTTTTGTCGACTTGGTATCGTTTGCTTGCTGAAATTTATCGAGATCCTGTCCACTTTGATCTCGGCTTGGGGCTCGCCTTTCCTCCATTCAAGATTCATCATTCACGTTTCAAGAGTCGATCAACAAAGCCGCCGATGAGCAAAATTGAGCGTTCACCTTGCGATGTCATGGGCAGGAACGACGCCGGCGCTCGGCGGTGGCTCAGTGCTGAGCTTTTGGATCGTTTCTGAGGCCTTGAAACTCATGCGTGCCTGTGTATCTCTACCGCGGCAAGATCTGCTTGTCGCCGCTGAGTCATTGTGCGCCCGTTTTCCATCAGCTACTCAACTAATCGAACGAGTCTGAGCTTCATACCCTTCGGAAGCGTCGCGCAAGCTACGGCAACGTTGCCCTCCAGAAAGCAGCAACGGGCGATGGGCTAGTAGGCCGCAGGTCTCAGGGACGCGCAGACTGCTTCCTCGAGGCCTCAGTCGATGCAAAGCTATATCTCTCTCCAGACCGCTTATTCGACGCCTTGCCACCTCGATCTGTCCCAGGGCCGAGCACGACGCGCTGCCCGAGCCTGCAAAGGGTGACTCGAGTGCTGCAGTGAAGATTGAGTGCCGCACTCTTCTGCTGCGCTAGACCTACGAGGTTGGCTACAACTCCAGCGGTGTGTAGAGACCCAGACGCTCTTGATAGGTGAGCTGAGCCTCCTACCTTGCTGACTTGCTGTGGCCACCAAGACGATGAGGCGTGCGTAGGGTCCGCTGCATGATCTCGAAGCTTGTGCCGCATCCATATGCTCAATCGCTGGTCGTGCGTGTCGCAGATCTGCGTGGCTTCCTGATTAGCTTGCATGTATGCGTGGCCATGCACCAGAATGGAGCCTTCTCAACGCGTCGGACTCTGTGTTGATCACCAAGCTGGTGTTATGGATGCGGTCCATTGAGTTGCAGGCTCGTATGCAAGGCTGTTGTTTCCCACGCTGATTAGCTGGGAGGTCTTTTGCTGCCGGTACAAGTTCCTCTGGCGCGATCGTCTATCTGCTGCAGGATGTGTGAGCTCGCGAGGAGCGCGGCTCAGTCTTGGCGCACGCATTCAAGGCGAGGGCTGATGAGCTCATAGCTGGCCGTCGAGGTTGAAGAAGCGCAAGCTTTCGTCAAGGACGATCGAGGAACAAGTGAAGCCACAAAGGTAGCTTGAACCCAATTTTGACACTCAAACTCAAGACTCCCATGCGTTAGCGCAAGTGCAAAAGGATACCGCCGGTGGCGCGCGCGGGCCGCTTGCAAACACGTCACGTGACCAAACGCGTCAACAAGTCCTGAAAACTCCCCGAGTCAAGACCCAAAGCTGTACCGGGAACTAGACGTCGTTGATCTGATCAGGCAACGTCAACAGCAGGCGCTGCATAGATCTCTTGCTTTGCTTGACCAGCGAATCGGCTTGCAACAAGCTCACAGCAACCGTAGTGCTCCAGAGGCATTCCTCCTGAGTGCTTTTCGGCGTGTCGTGGTGAGAACGATGTATTTCATCTCTATGGATCTAGTCTGCGATATGTACATATAGGCGCGCGCGTTGTGCGGGTCACGTGCGTGCATTGGGCCCATGCACGGCGCGCCTGGCTTTTGGGAAATGGGGGGCAGTGATGGCGTCTTTGGGGAACATTGAAGCGGAGCGAGACAACTGGGACAAAGGAACATGAGGCTTGTGTGATGAGGGGGACACGACTTGAACACTGGGCGGAGCGAGACAGCCGGGAAAAGGGGACATGATGCTTTTGTGATTAGGGGGAACACGACTTGAACACTGGGGAATTAGACTGTACTTTCTTTTTCTTTTTCTTTCGATGGTTGGTGTCCATGAGGTGCTTTTTTTTTTTTGTTTGGTTATGCTTGCTACCTCTGTACTAGTCTTTGCCACTACTATCCACGACTACCACGACTACTATCCACGACTGCCACGACCATTGAGGCTATGCCTCTTCTGCGATAACCGGCAGATCGGCCACGACGGTTCCCGTGAGCTCGGGTGCTGACTTGTTCGGAAAGAACATTTTTAGGTGTCTGTGGTGAAACCTTCCTCCTAGAGGGATGCCCGCCAGCGTTTGCAGTTTGGCAGACGCTGGTCCCGTCCAGGTGACTTTGTAAGGACCCACCCACCTCGGCTCTAGTTTGTTGATGTCTCCCATTTGATGGACCATGACCAGTGATCCTTCCGAGATATCAAAACTGCGTTGTTTTCCGTCGTGTTTAGCTTTGCGAGCATTGAGCTCAGCTTCTAGAGCGGCCAATGCTTCGCAACGCTTGGCGTCTAGTACTGCCAGGTGTACTTCTGCTTCGCCATGCTGCTCCGCGGCGCTTTCGCTTGCCACAGCAACTCCGAACATGAGTTCCACAGGTGCCCAGCCTGTGGTGGATGATGTTCGCTCGTTGAGATTGCGTATCGCTTTGCTCAGCTTTGATGGCCACGCTCTTTGCTCCTGACCGCATAAGGTCCTCAGCTGCTCTGTTACCAGTCCAACGTGGCGCTCGGCTAGACCGTTGGCCCAAGGCGCGTACTTGGGCGAGGTTTCGTGTTTGATTCCGAGCTCTGCGCATGCTTCTTGCACCTCAATGCAATCGAAATGCCTGCCGTTATCTGTTAGGAGTCTTCTTGGGACGCGGAACGTACTGCTCAGGCTCTGGATTGCCTTTACCGTTTCCATTCCCCGTGCTCTTTTACTCGCAAAGGCCCAGCAGAACCTCGTAAAGTAGTCCACCACAATCAACACCTTGGTGAGCCCTCTCTTGCCCAAAGGCATGTCGGCGTAGTCGGCGCACAGAAGGTCGAACGGTTGCAACGTTATGATTGGTTGCATGAGCGCGTGTTGTTGGCGTGGACCGAATTGTTGACACACTCCGCACGTCATTACGACTTCCAAGACGTCCTGGTGGATCTTTGGCCACCAGACCTTCAGGTGCGTAGCTAGGCGCGCTAGGAGTATGTCCCGGCTGAAGTGCCCGTGCTCCTGGTGCTCTCGCATCGCCAATTGCTTGCCCTCCGCTCTTGGAAGTACCGTCGCATCGCAACCTCCTTTCTTGACAAGGACGCGGTGGAGTTGCAACGATCCGTCTCCCGCATTTTTGATGAAGAAGAATTTTGATCGTTGCCGTGCACTTCTTTTGACGTCGTCTTCACGCAGTGTCAGCCACTTTATGATGGCCAAACTTGCTTCGTCTTCTTTGAACCTCTCTGTGAGAGCCGCCACTCTGTCGGATGCAATCAGATAGGGCGCCACCGCCACCGTGACCGCCAGCACGTCCAGCACCTGGTGCGAAGGATGCTCTGGCGGTGGTGCCGCCTCTATGCCCCCCTGCGTTGCACTTCGCGACAGGCCGTCGGTGATCATTGAAGAGCTTCGCCTGTGATGGATGGCGCAGATGTTGTATTCCAAGAACTGCTCCCTCCATCTGACGTGAACTGACGACATCTTCTCCTGCTGTAAGATCGCGCGCAGCGCGCTGCAGTCTGTGACCAGCTCAACCTTTTGTCCTGCTACGTACTTCTTGAACACCGAGAGAGCCCACAGCGCGGCCACCATCTCTCTGAGATGTTGCGAGTACCTGCTTTCCGCTGGCGACGTCCTTCGCGATGCCACGGCTATGGTGCGGATTTGGCCTCCCAATTCTTTCTGGAAGCATGCCGCGCCGAAGCCTATTTGGCATGCGTCCGACTCGACCACGAACGGTGTTCCATCGTATCGTGGCTGCATCGACACTATGCACTGCGCTACAGCCGCCTTGAGCTTAGCAAAGGCCTGCTCTTCTTCGGGTCCCCATCTCCACGAAGGCAGATCAGTCCTCTTCAGCGCTCGCTTCAAGGACCCTTTGCGATTGCTCTTGACCTCGATTCCCCTGGTCAGATTATTGAGAGGTGCAGCTATTCTGGCAAAGTTAGACACGCGCGCTCGATGGGCTCCTGCTGTGTTGACGAAGGATAGCACATCGTGCGGGCTCGACGGTTGCTTCCATCGTAGTATCGCTTCCACTTTTGCCGGGTCCGCATGTAGACCTTGCTGATCGATAATCGTGCCACACCAGCTCAGCCTGCGCTTGAACATCTCGGTCTTGTCCAGGGCCAATCTGATGCCGCAGTCGCTGCATCGCTGGAGAACCCTCTGCCACCCCAGCAGGTGTTGGCGAAATGCTTGGTTTCTGTCGGTGGCAGTTCCATGGCCCATCAACGTGTCGTCCATCCACGTCGCTAACCATGGAGGTTCTTCCGCCATCAGGTCTCCCAAACCCTCTTGCATGAGCTCTTGATACATTCGCGCTGCTCCGGTCAAGCCAAACGGCATCGCATTGTAGTAGAAGTATCCAAGGCCTTCTACCCTGAATGTCGTTGTCAACGCGCTGGCTTTGTCCATCCGGCATGCGTAGTAGCCGGACTGGCCATCTGCCTTCCCATAGAAGTACTTGCCGGCCAACGACGCCTGCATCACGTCCAGCCTTTTGGTCGGGTACGGGCACTCGAGGGTGTTTGCGTTGAGCGGAATGTAATCGTGCGTTAGTCTCCATCCTCTGCTCGCCGTGCCGTCGTCCGTCCGGAGATCTTCCTCGGTTGGTAGATCGCCGTCGTACGGCAGGCCCGCCTCGTATAGTGCTTGGTTTGCCAAACGCACCAACCTTGTTGCATCCGTCTCCGTGGTCGATGAGTGCGACGGCTTTGGGACTATATTGATGGCGCTTACCCACGTCACTTCGGTTGGGTCAACCTTTGTGATGATGCCTGCCTTGAGCATCTTGCCGATGTGGTCGTGCAACCAATTGACTTGCTCCACCGTGAGCAATTGCGGGCGCAGCGTCTTGATGGGCTGCGTGCCTGGCTTGACACGGACGACACATTTGATGACGTCATTCTGCAGCACATCGCCGGCGTCCAGAGCGAACGCGTTGTGGTACTTTGCGCACATGTCCAGTATCACCTCGCGTTCGACTGCCGAGACTGGGTCTTCTTCGCTACCAAGGTTCTTGGCCAGCCGCTTTCTGACTTCCGCCTTGCGTGTTGCCGGGTCAGAGGTCCTATGCGGCACAATTGGGCGGGCATTGAATCGCCTGCTTCTGGCTTGGCGTTCCGCTGCCACCTCTGACTCTTGAGCTTCCATGGCCTCTTTGGTCTCTTTGACCCACTGCTCCTCCCTGCCGACGGCGAACACCTCAACCGACTTTAGCGCGTCTTCTAGAAGGGTGATCTCATGGCCGGGCACCTTTGCCATGGTGTGCAGGGAATCGAGAAAGTCTTGCGGTATGCGTGTGCTGGTCTCGCTTGCATCCGGAATAGGCTTCCACTCTTCGTCCCGTCTCACGAGCATCGTATTGTATTGATACGCGTGGACACATCCAATGCTGTGTTTGAAGGGCTTCCCAAGCAGGATGTCGTACATGCCGTGCGACGGCATGACCAGGCAGTCGACGTCGACATCCTCCGCAATGGTGGGCAGGGTGACCGTTGCTGCAATGGAGCCAGAGACCTTCTTGAACTTGCCGTCGGCCAGACGCGCGGATCGGTGCGATGGATTGAGGGTTCCTAGGTTGGGCCACCTGTTGTACCACTCCTCGCTGATGACATTCGTTAGGCAACCGTCGTCTATATGCGCCACTACTGGTACCTTCGAACCGTCCTTCATTGACACTGAGATTTTGATCGTGTAGAAGCGGGTCGGGGCAGGGCCTACTTTTGACTTCGGTTCTACACGAGGTGCTGGCGGGCGTTCTACGGTGTCTCGATGTACCTGGCTGGGTGGTGGCGTCTCCTCCGGGGAACTTGGTGGCGGGCTTGTTGGGGCAGTTGGCTGCTGTACCTGCTCCCTGCTACGTTCCTCTGCTGGTCGTGACTCTTGGACTTTCTTGGATGGTTTTGAGATCCTCCCTGAACGGGTGCGGATCGCGGTGACAGGGGGGTGAGGGCCCGCCACCTTTAGTAAAAATCCATCCCGTCACGATCGCGCTGGAAGCCTTCTTCGTGACCGACGTCGGTGTACCAATGCTCCTCGATCTCCTCCATGGGGTCGTACAGAGCCATTGGCACTCGTGCCGGTTGACGTCGCTCCCTAGACGCGTTGCCCCAGAGGCGACGGAACTCTTGCTCGCGCTCTGGCAGCTTGGAGGGCTCTCTGCAGTTGGGGCGTATGTGGCCTTCATGCCCGCACGCGTAGCAGACGTTGTTGTCAGGCTCCGCTGATCCGGGTCGTAGAGGGTAGGGTACATGCGCATACAGTGCGTCCTCTCCATATGCGTTGACTGCTTTGCGGTAGGCTGCTTGACCGTGGGGCGTCGTTGGGAACATCATATGCTTTCCTCTCGCTACTGGGGGGGGCTGAGGTCTGCGGATTGGTTGACTGCTTTGAGGTTTGGACATATCTGGCGACGATGGGGGCGTCGCTGGGCTTGGCGGGGCGTATGTCTTCAGTCTGCTATTGAACTTTTCAGCCAGCATTCTGACCTCCCTGGCTGTCTCTGCGGTCTTGACCACTCCTCGCACATCTTGAATGTGAATGTTCAGGATGCGCTCGACCATTTCTTTGAGCGAGTCTGGCGCGTTGCCGGGTGTGAGGGCGCGAACGCCTGAAGGCATTGCATCCGCGAGCAAGGATGCCAATACCTTGTTGGCTACTTCGGTCTCTGGCACTAGGGCACCCGACTGGAACACTTCGAGTGCCCACTCTTGGAGCCTAGACTCCGTACCTTCTGCGTGGACTAATGGGGGGTCGGCCAGCTTTTCAATTGAAGGCACCCTTGCTAGCGCCGCATTGAAGCCTTTGAAACCATCACGCCTTGGCGCTGTCACCACCGGAGGGGGCTTAGACGGCCATTGCTTGGTGATGGCCATATATGCGCCCTCAATGGTCGTTGGCTTGATGAGAAGACCGTCCCACCACGTCTCGGCATGGCCGTCTAGGAACGTGGGCAGCAGTCGGAGGGCTTTGCTATCTTCGAGGTCGGCCACTGCGGCCCACCTTTTGAAGCCCTTTACCCATGCGGCCCCGTACGCACCGGGCTCTCCAGCGAACTCTTCTGGCGCAGCGATGACACTCATGGTGAGTTTGCTGTTGACCTGGTTCAAGGTATCTTGCGTGGATGGCGCGCTTGTGTCCTTTGCGCGACCCGGCGGCGATGGGGGCCTTGCGGACGGGCCCGTGGACGATCGTTGGCTTGCTGCTCGCGTGGATGGGTATTCCTTTTCAGCCTGCGTAGGGTGTATGCTGACTATCGGTGGTGGCTGCGCTGCCGCTTTGAGGTTCTGTTTGGATGGCGCTCTTGACGGCGCTTTGGATGCTGGCCGTGAACCTGCTTGTGAGCCTGCCTTGGACGTTGCTCTTGAACCCACTTGCGAGCTTGCAGAGGAAGGGTTGCGGGAGGGAAGGCCTGTTCCTTGCGCTGATGCGAGTCTGTCTTCTAAGTTCCTGGACGTACTCAGAGACTCCGTCGCCATGCCCTCGCAAGTTGCGTGCGACCTTGTTATCATGAATCTACAGTGCGACAAACTGGCGGCGCGTCAGTGACTTGGGGAGCTTCGAAACGGAAGTATATGCGGTGTGCTGTGGTGGATGCTAATTTGCCACCGGGGCTGCGGTTGCGAATGCGGTGCGGTGCGTTGCGTTGCGGCCACTCACGGGGGCTTCCGGATCTTGTCTCGATATTTGTCTTCACACAATCACTGGGACAGGCAGCGTTGATCCTGCAGCCGTCGCCAAATGTCGTGGTGAGAACGATGTATTTCATCTCTATGGATCTAGTCTGCGATATGTACATATAGGCGCGCGCGTTGTGCGGGTCACGTGCGTGCAGGCGGCTATATTTCACTCGCTCGTCATGCGGTCCTAGCACAGCAATTTGCTCAATCGCCTCGACTTGCGTCTTTCGGCCGTCTTGGGCCGCGATTCACTACTACAATTCCAACATGCTGCAGAGATGGTGGACCCAGCAAGCAGCGTGCCGCCCAGTCGCTCATGGCCCGTCGACGTCTGTAGTCTCCGGTCTGAACGTGGGAATAGGTCTCGTGGCAGTCATGCAGCCCATTACGCGTCCGCGAGCAGGTCAGTGAACGCTCCGACATTCTTTTCGAAAGCGCGCTGGGAAGTGGCGACTCGGAGCGAATGGATTGTTGACTGAGATTTGGTGGAGCCTTTGCCCAGACGTGATGATACAATCTGAAAGGTCATGCTCACCGAGTAAGCTCTGGACCAGCTCGAGTTCGAAGTGATCAGGATTTTCTATCAAGAGACCAATGCGAATGTCTTTGCGCAAGCAGTCTGCGCGTTACCTCACCGCCCTATGTGCTGACCGTCCGCGGCGGCTCCATTCGCGCCTCACAGCCCCACAGAATCTGACTGGTGTCGCGCACGCGTTCATGCGTCTTCATGTACTCATCACATGCACGCACGCATCTTGAATATGAACCACATCATCCCTCTGCATGACATCCGCGACACTGGATGGATTAAAATTATATACGCGCTCCTCTGAGTCACGAGCTCAACATGCAGTTACAATCTCGAGCGACAATTGATGAATGGTGGAGACGGGGAGAAGGAAGGGGGCGGACTCAGTCTTTTGTTCTTGCGCCATCGGTTGAGGCGGGTGGAAGAGGGGGATAACTAATGATACATGTTCTTCTAGGATCCAAGGAGTTGCCATCTTGCTTGACAGTACAGGTTGAGGCGAGGAGCGGTCGGAGAAAACGCTGTTCCTGGAAAACCAACATACGCGTGCCTTTCCACGCTGTTTGTGAGCAGTCAAGGCTCCTCTTCCTTGACGCGAAAACGAAAAACTCTGACTGGAGCCCCCTCAGCGTCGTCCTCGACTGGGCGATGATGGGCGCGGCAATGTTAGACGAGCGTTCGACACTGACACGAGTCATGACAACTTTGCGATGCACTCACGTCCACGTTTGTTGCTCCTGCTGGTGTTGCTGGTGTTGCTGGTGTTGCTGGTGCTGCCAGTGCTGCCATTGCTGCCGTTGGTGCTGCTGCTGCTGCTGCTGCTGCTGGTGGTGGTGATGGTGCTGTTGCTGCTGTTGCTGTTGCTGTTGCTGCTGTTGCTGCTGCTGCTGCTCGATGTGAAAGAGCTGCCACCACCACGACCAACTTCGAAGGCGCTGGAAGGGACGCCAGATTGGATGGGCATACGCCCGCGCAGTGTGGAGATGACCTCAGGAAGATCGTCTTCTTCGGTGGGCTCGATGTTGTAGGCCTGCAGTGCCTTGCCGCAGCCGTGCAAAGCAGTCAGAGCGGCTTTGTACTGGACGCTTCGCCCGTGCCCGGCTTCCTTGTGCGACCCCTGCGCCGAGACGATCGCTTCGAGTTGCTCGAGCGCATCTTCGTGCGCCATGGCTGCGGCCATGTAGCCCGCGGCTCCAGTCAAATTCTCAGTTGCCTCTTGCTCGTAGGCGTCGAAGGCAGCGATCATCGCTTCGAGGCCATCACGGGCGGCTACTGCATGAGAGCGGTTGATGGCAAGATGACAATCCTTGCGGATCCTCGACATCGATGCGAATTCTTTGTCTGCGTTCTGCATTTTGTGCGCTGTGCTTTGCAGATGAGGAGCTCGAACCGTTCCGAGTGGGACATCCTAAATGCGATCAGCGGAGATGGCTGCAAGAGGCAACGGCATCTGTTTGGATGATGGATGCAATTTAGACACGATTGTAGTCAAGACAATGGTTAGCGCAGTGACGGAGACTACTCGTACGTATCACACGTACCCCAAAGAGAACCCAGAAGGGAGAAGACTGATTCTGCGGTGCGGAGGTGAGACGGGGTCAGCATGTCGAGTATGAGACGCTTCATAGTGTGTTGAGACGTACTGGTACTTTGCTATGCATCGACGTCTTGAAGTTCGGACTGTTTCTGACGAGAAGTAGCGTGTCGCAAACGTGCTTGACATCCTCCTGCAAATGGGACTCTTGTCAATGCTATTCCACTACAGTCACGAGTGCGTATCATTCTCTGAGATACTTACCAGAGATACGTGTATGATCTGCACCGAGACACTTGCGTCGGACATGGGTGGCGGTGGGAATGAGGAAGCGGTCATTGGGTCATTTGGCTGCAGGAGCGTCTTCGATGAGCGTCGTTGATTTGGTTGGTCGCATGAGCGTCGTCGATGAGCATCATTGATTCGGTTGGTCGCATGAACGTCGTCCATGAGCATGGTAATTTCGACGAGTTGCAGGAGTGACGTCGTTCAGCATCGCCGTGTTGGTAGGTTGCATGACCAATGTCGACGAGCAATCAGTCATCATGTCGTGGGTCGTTGTCGAGAATGAGGGAAGAGCATGCGTAGAATGAAATATGAGTGCAATGATGAGCGGACTGGCCAGGGCGTTTCGGAATCCTTCTTGCAGTCGTCACTTACCGCCGGAATGGACTCCGACTCCGATTTCTGGTTGTAGACGATCACAAGAGGAGAGGGAGGACAAGGAGCCGGGAAACAGGAGACGGTCAGCACTTGGCTGACCAAAGTCGAGGGCAATGACTATCATAGCAAACCTCCGGTCGGAAGCGCCTTGGCATGGCGGTCGACACCTCTCCGGGCACTTTGTCTCCGGATGTTAGGGCGAACGCCAGGTGGAAGCGACGAAGCATCACGCGTTGTACTAGCGATCGGGTTGATCGGTGTTCATCACCAAGGTAGAGTGCGAGCTACAGAGATCTATCCGGCCTTTGCTTTTAGCCCAAGGTCTTCGGGTGATGTCTGTCTCGGTCTACTTGATGCGCGACCGGCGAAAAGCCGCGAGAACTGGAGAGTAAGGCAATGCCCTACTCGCCAAGCACGACGAGAGCAGATACGGCAAGGCTGGTTGACATCGAGTCAGAGTGCGAACACCGCTACTCCGGTGCACGGCCACGAATTTGCTCGAGATCTTCGTGCGAAGTACGGCTCGTTCTGCTCGAGTGCGGATTGAAACCGCGTGCAACCAACGACCAAGACAAGTCTTGTGCTTGCTAAGCTTGTTACGAGCGGACAGATCAAGGCTGGCTGGCATCGGAATAGGAGCGAGGTTCGAGCTCCGTCACGGCCTTCGCTTTAGCTCAAGGTCTTCGTGCGTCCTTCGATTCGGGCCTAGCCAATGTGCGGACTGAAACCACATGTAGCCAGCGCAAGCTCTGCCAGCTTCATCAACATGATGCTTTGGCTACCAAGAGTACGGCAAGACCTCGCCGAAGCGAAATGCGCCAGAACTCTCCAACGACACGTAGGGAACAACGCGAACTGAAACTGAGAATCTCGAGTGAGTGGACGACTCACCGGCATCTTGTCTGTGGAAAATGAAGGGAGGTCAGTTTCTCGTTGGTAGAAAGAGAGAGAGCGTTTGGAGAAGATGGTGGACGGAGAAAGAAGTGCGGAGGCAAAAGCACTCGCTGAAGTGTTGCGCGACGCGTGCGCCTGCACCCTCGTCATGTAAGTCAAGTCAGGTTGCCAGCAAGTGCGCGCTGGAGCATGCATCCCGAGCAAACATGAGGAATGCGGCCTGCATGCCACGCACAACGCTTCCAAGCTTGGGCCACGCGGATGCGCCGTGTAGAGGTCGGTTCTCACAGCCAAGAACATAACAAGAGCCGTATCCACAATTATAAATACTCAAGACTGAATAATCACGACTAGAGATACAAGTCAAGAGTCACCGGCTATGTTTCGTAAGCTCAGTACCTGGTCAGTATGGACGTCAGTCACAGGTCGGCCGCTGCTCGTACCCGCTTCTAATCCAAGCCATGCACAATTGCGTGCCCACATGAGTCCAGCACTGGTGACTCTTGATCCGCGATCCATCGCGCTCCGACCAGCGCATGCCTGAATGAAACCGACGTCTGTGCGCGCCTCGCTATGACCAGCGGTCGCATTCTGATTGGTGGACCTCTGACCAGCTCGGCACTCACCTTCGTTTGAGCACACGACGGCGCTTGGCTGCTACACCTGTTGAGCGCTCCCGTCTGAACACATCGCACACCGACCAAAAGCGCAGATCATACGTATGCACTCTCAACGCTTCCGAGCACCACTTCCAAGCTCTAGCCCTTCTTGACTGCCGAGTGCTGCTGTCACCAGAGAGCGTAATCTTCGTTTTCAGTACCTCCCTGGCCCGCATATCATCGGTACAAGCTCCAATTCGCCAGCAGGTATGGGCCAGCTCATCAGCCAGTCGGCAGGATTGCCGCATTCGGCTGCCATTCAACAGCAAGCTGCGCAGTCCCAAGCGTACGAGCAGCCCGGAGGGGCAAATGATTCGACCAGCGTGAGTCCACTGCTCCAATCGGCACTCAGTGGTTTTGTGCGCAAGGCAGCTGTGCGCCTCGGTAAATGCTCGGGCAGAGACACCCGACAAGGCGTCCTTGTTTCAATCCGAGCCTCGCTTCTGATCAGCCACAGTGGATATCATCTTTCGCCTTGCAGACTGCAGCGCTTGTTGTGAGAAGAGATCGAATTCATAGCGAGTGGGGGCTTGACTGAAGGAACTGGAAGAGACTTATATACATGCATAGAGAGGAGGCCTGTGCGCTATTCTGACCGTTCAGATGCCTCATGCAGGAAAGGGGACCGTGCACTCAATACTCCCCCTTCTCAACAGTTCCGTTGTCAATCAACAAGAAGATCGACATACATTTCACATGAGCCCAAGTTGCTTCATAGCTACTCCGTGCTTAACTCCAGATAGCGACTTTGTGAGGACGTCAGCCTTTTGGTCTGCTGACGGTACGTATTCCACTATGATCTCTTTGTTTTCCACTTCTTGACGAACGTAATGGTACTTGACCTTG